ATTTCCTCAACATATTGTTATTTTCTTTAAATATTGCATAAATTCTTTGCATATGATTCAACATGGACTGTTAAATTATTACACCTGTGTCAGGTCAACACTGTAATATAATTTACAGGTAAGAATACAGAAGAATGTGGTGGCCTTACGTTTACAGTTGTAGGAAACTGTTTGTTTCCTTCTTAATATTGCTGATATATTAATGTTCATAAAAATATTAATGTTTCTGTGATTATACTTGAATACTGTAGAACAATACTATAATGAGTTTAGCATTTGATTTCCTTATTTCTTGTATTTTTTGAGTCAAGGTAGACAACTCTCAATATCCTATAATTCAAGATCACATCAGTCAGGGAGTGTTCTAACATTTGTTTTTGTTTACAAATAAAATTTAACTCAATACAAGTTGAAACTATTCAAGCATGAGTTATAATACTGGTGACACACAGCAAAATTGTATCAGAGTCTAAGAGACAATCAAAGTTTACAGATAGGATTTTAAATGAGTTTTCATTTCAAGAGATTTTACGTAACAAGTCTTAGAAGCCCTTTTTTTTTGCAAGGTATGGCAAAAATTAAAAACTTGAATCAAGTTTAGTAAAATCTCACATATGAAATGCAAACAATTATCTAAGATACATGAATGGACATAACTGCCTTTATACAAATATACAGCTGCATACACATCATCACCAAATTAAGCAAATTAACTGCCAAATTTTCCCAATGTCTTCCCAGCTTTTGGTTACTGACGCTTCACATATTGACCAGAACCTCAAATTCATCCCTGAATGTTTGCGAACACATGCCTGACATACATTTTGATAGGTTTTATAATACAGAGGCAGCCATAAAGTGGCCTTATTTTCATTTCATGATTTAATGTCATTGTCCATACTATGACACCACAATGTGTTTCTGACCAGAACTAGTGACAATATACAAAGAATTTTTTCATTGGCAAATTCACTGGACAACACACCAATATGTGATGATACTATCTTCTTATGAGCATTTTTCATAAGGGCTCCCCACTCTCAGGGCTCCCCCTCCCCGCACTCCCATCAGAATTGTCTGCTAGTCATCCACATATCCATACATTGGGCCAATTTCACTCAATTCATTTCACCCAATGTTTCTTTGAAGGAACTGCTTGTGTGGTAGTGATCTTATGGTCCAGTCCAAAGGTCAAAATGATCTAATGTCAAATTTGAAATATTTTACCGGTAAATATGAAGCATGATTAGTTGGAATCAAATGAAAAGCCACCTGACTAATGGTAAAGTCACCATGTCAAAGGTGAAGGTCAAATTTGAAATTATTCATTTATATAACACCGCCAAATTAATGTGTCTATAAACTTTTGTAGAAACAATCATTATCAATGTAACACATGGGTTTAGAGTCTGACACTATGCAGGGCCTTTCCTGACATTTGTCAGTACACTAGTCACACGTTATATTTACTTTACATAAATGAATCTTTTCCAGAGAATTAAATACCTTTCAAAAAGAGATATTTTTCATATTGATTTGCTTTTTTATACATCCAGGACTCAAAATTGAAATGTTGATATTGTACTGTAATGATATTTATGATAAAAGGGTAGAGGCTGATTGTCTTTAAAGAAACATTCAGCATCACAGTCTTTAGATTACTAGAAGAACAATATACATCCAATGCTTTCAGTTAAAGTAAACAAATATATGAACTTAAGATACATTTTGTACTTTGACTCGAAGAGTTTCAGAAAGGGGAGGCAACCTTTCTGCTTACACTCAACAAAAGTTATTAAAGCAGAGCTTAAAAGTTTATACTTTTCTCCATGAAAGATTTGAGAGAGGGGAGGCAACCCCTCTTTGCCTGTCCAAGAGTAGAATATTAATTTTTGATAGTTTCCTTTTAACTTTTTGAAAAAGTCAGACACAGTCAGATCTATTTTTGTCACAGAATCTACATATTTATTGATATACATGTATGTGTATACATATATCACAGTTAACGTAACCATTAATACACTGTCACATTTTAAAATCTTTTATCAAAATATTGAAAGACTTCTTTTCAAAACTTGATCAAATGCATAACTTGGAATCATATACACATTCATTGTGTCAGTATATAGGTTCTAACCCTGATCTGGGACTTCACCACCTGGACAGATTTATTTGAGACTAGTATTTCAGTATTTTTACACCTGTCTTTATACTGTAGTTCAGATATAGTACCACAAGGAGTGTGGTCTTTTTACCATACATCATATCACCTACCTGGGCTCGATCCCTTTCTACCTACTGAGTACAAGGGAGTTTCCGTGTAAATTACACATGTCCACTACAACTTAACCATTATGTATGTTTGTGCTTGAAGTCATTAAAACATCATCAACATTGAGAAGATGTCTAACTTAAAACAGGATTCAGTGACTATATAACCTTGAACTTCACTATATCATTCACTTAGAAATATAACCTGTATAAAAATGGAAAACAAATGCATCTTTTCTGCAACATATATGGAAAGTTTTGCATTATGGAAAAATCGATTTGAAATCAATATCCAATTTTGTTCAAAGTGTTTGAAACTTTGCAATTTTCCAGAATTAAATCAATAGAAACATTTGTGAAATCCTGTATGTACAATTCAACCCTTGTGCGGCTATATTTCTCCACCATTTCTCGCTTGTTATTCCTTTTCCTATCACCAGGTGGGAAAACCACAAACACTAAAGGTACATCTGTTTTGAACCAAATATTCCTAGCAACTTGGGTCCTCTGCTGAGAGCTTAATGAGAACTTCTATTCTATGATCATAATCATAACGATATTCACAATGAAAAATCTGTGACAGAATTATTGAGGTATAGGAGTATCACATTGTCATCATAACATTACTACACCATGATTTTAACCATACTTAATCACGGCTGTATGAGTCCTGATTAATGCTGGAATGTTTCAAGCCAAGTACTGAATGGTCCCTGAATTTCAACAATGGACACTTAGAACTCAAGGTGCTTGGTATCATTCAAACCACACAAACCTTGTAACAGATTGACCCGATATAAACTTTAATTGATCTCTTATAAAAACTGATTGGAGATCTAGTCTTTATACCCCTAGAGCTGTCTATTCAGGCTCGCAATTCAAGTCATGTTTATATAAGTGTTGATCAAACAATGCTATCGCAGAAAAAAAAATAAAATACTGACGTACCGCACTGTAACCATTGTTCTCGACACTCGTTTTTGGATGACAACATATAACTGTAGATCTACTATTCAAATTAAATATCGGGCAGAGATATAGTCCATCTCATTGTATGGACTGTTAATGTTATTCTGGAGGTCTATATGTACACAGGCCTCAGGTGTTGAGCACATCAAACACCCTGGCAACTCAGCATTGGGTCTGCTGACCACTAGGATCACACAGAAAAAGTGACTTCTGGAAACTGAATTTTACTCTTTAATGGTTTTGTAAGGGTTTTGGTTGACATTGTGCTTAGAGGAGTAAAATGTCTACTCACAGATATGACAAGTAAGTAGTACCTTTATAGGTCATCCTGTTAAACTTCAGGTAAAAATTATCATACCTGTCCTCCTATATAATAAGATCCCATACACTTCTGATAACATGTCTACTCTCAGTTTGCACTTTGTATAGAAAATGGAACCAAAAGATGGTAATATTTACAGGTTATTTTTCTATAGGCAGAAATTGTATATTAATCACATGATGATATTAATGCCAGTTTTAAAATTTTTGAAAATATTAATTGATTTTGTAGGATACAGACATGCATAAACAAATATTGATTTTTAGAAGACTTTGGTATCATAAATGATCCTTGGAGAAATTTATACACTTAAAGGAGTTTTACTAAAATTTAAGTATTAACCAATAAAAGTACAAAAAATCTCAGTCGAAAGGTATTGATTTCAGTCTCAAGTTATTTTTAAAATCTGACTGAATTATTGGACAGATCACATAAGTTAAGGGTGAAGATTTGTTGATAATTTGTTTTAGTTTAAGATTGGTCAATGATATATCTATCTCTGATAATGTAAACAACACTGCCCTACACAAGTACATAGTCCACTATGGTGTAGTAGATATCATGTGATTATCTCCATGTGGTATTATGTCAACACTGCATCTTCTACATTGCATCTCTGGTTCAACTTTATAGTTGTTATCATTCCTCTTATTCTCAGTGCATAAAGTTATTTCTTTAACATTGTAACTTGTCAACAATTGTTTCTCTAACATTATAACTTGTCAACAATAATTTCTCTAACATTGTAACTTGTCAACAATAATTTCTCTAACATTGTAACTTGTCAGCAATTGTTTCTTTAACATTGTAATTTGTCAACAATAATTTCTCTAACATTGTAACTTGTCAACAATTGTTTCTCTAACATTGTAACTTGTCAACAACTGTTTCTCTAACATTATAATTTGTCAACAATAATTTCTCTAACATTGTAACTTGTCAACAATTGATCTTTAACATTGTAATTTGTCAACAATAATTTCTCTAACATTGTAACTTGTCAACAGTTGTTTCTCTAACATTGTAACTTGTTAGCAATTGTTTCTCTAACATTGTAACTTGTCAACAATTGTTTCTCTAACATTGTAACTTGTCGACAATTGTTTCTCTAACATTGTGACTTGTCAGCAATTGTTTCTCTAACATTGTAACTTGTCAACAATTGTTTCTCTAACATTGTAACATGTCAACAATTGTTTCTCTAACATTGTAACTTGTCAACAATTGTTTCTCTAACATTGTAACATGTCAACAATTGTTTCTCTAACATTGTAACTTGTCAACAATTGTTTCTCTATACATTGTAACTTGTCAACAATTATTTCTCATTTTGCTCTAATTTGTCAACAACCATTTCTGTATACTTTAATTACAAATAGTTAAATCCTCATTTATATTGTTCTGTCTCTGTTTTATTAAGTACTTTGTCAATATTCAGGAAACATTTCCGGGATGTATTAAAGCAACAGATGGCTGACATTGAGGATAAACGAAAGAAGAATGTGAAAGAGAAGAAGAAGGAGAGTGAGATGGCGTTAGCTCAGGATGATAACGACAAGACAAAAGATAGAGAAGCCTTCGTTAAGAAACATATTTATCTACAAGGCTTCCGCGACTGTAATAAACAGGTGGGTGAAGATCCCTTCCCTTCCCACTTCAAATTTCAACAAGAGCTGTAAACACACACTGGGATAAGCAAGTTTTTAATTATGCAAATCAAATGATGAACTGTACCATTATAGTTGGCCATTGGATCTCATTTTCTTCGTTCGTGTACCATTATAGTGTATACTTATAGTCCAGAACCCCTGTAGTGTAACGTTATGTTATGATGAATGTTCAGCTCTTTTCAAAGTTATGATGACATACATGATGAAAAATGTTGTGTTTCGGTATAATATATTGATCACATACATAATGACCAATATTCTGTTTCTGTCCAATGTTTGACTGACACATGCTATAAGGAATGTTCTGTTTCTACCTAATGTTTGTCTGACACATGCTATAAGGAATGTTCTGTTTCTACCTAATGTTTGTCTGACACATGCTATAAGGAATGTTCGGTTTCTACCTAATGTTTGACTGACACATGCTATAAGGAACGTTCTGTTTCTACCTAATGTTTGACTGACACATGCTATAAGGAATATTCTGTTTCTGTCCAATGTTTGACTGACACATGCTATAAGGAATATTCTGTTTCTACCTAATGTTTGTGTGACACATGCTATAAGGAATATTCTGTTTCTACCTAATGTTTGACTGACACATGCTATAAGGAATGTTCTGTTTCTACCTAATGTTTTTGACACATGCTATAAGGACACTAATGTTTGTGTGCTATAAGGACACAATGAATATTCTGTTTCTACTGACACCTAATGTTTGACTGACACATGCTATAAGGAATATTCTGTCTCTATTAATGTTTGTGTGACACATGCTATAAAGAATATTCTGTTTCTACCTAATGTTTGACTGACACATGCTATAAGGAATGTTCTGTTTCTACCTAATGTTTGACTGACACATGCTATAAGGAATGTTCTGTTTCTACCTAATGTTTGACTGACACATGCTATAAGGAATGTTCTGTTTCTACCTAATGTTTGTGTGACACATGCTATAAGGAATATTCTGTTTCTACCTAATGTTTGACTGACACATGCTATAAGGAATGTTCTGTTTCTACCTAATGTTTGTGTGACACATGCTATAAGGAATATTCTGTTTCTACCTAATGTTTGACTGACACATGCTATAAGGAATGTTCTGTTTCTACCTAATGTTTGACTGACACATGCTATAAGGAATGTTCTGTTTCTACCTAATGTTTGACTGACACATGCTATAAGGAATGTTCTGTTTCTACCTAATGTTTGTCTGACACATGCTATAAGGAATGTTCTGTTTCTTTTCAGACAATGGAGGAGAGATGGAGTAACAATAAAGTAAACAAGTTTATCGAGGATCGATCAGATCGAGATAGAGGGCGCTACAATCCCATTAACTGGACATGTAGTCTTAAGTGATCTAGACTGGCTGTATAGAACAAAACTTCCGTAGTGATGGTCCATTGCTTACAAGCATCTCACTGATCTGACCAGTTCAAAAAATAACTGAGGAATGGATTATTCTCCACTTCAGACTCAACAGACTTTTGACATTAAATTGAGTGACTATTGGGAACTGTGTAAATGTCATACATAACATTTTCTGTGATTTTTCTAAAACATATAGTTGTTTAGTCATATTACATATGTAGTTCTGACTAACAGAGGTTTAAACAACAATATACATCAGTATAACTACTGCTCTGTATCGTCAAAACAGGTAAAGTTTCATATCTAAAAACAGTCATTTTCAGCACCTGTAATAGATCATATCATTTCCATAACTTTTACAACTCCTCAGATGCTCTCTGTCTCTAGATTACTATGATAAAGGACTGGTCTGGTCAGTGTGTACCATAGAGATTTTGTTAAAAGCTAATTGGTTTACAGTGACATGTAACTCAAATCAATTTCTTGAAATAACTTCAATGTTTGGCGAGCCAGCAGCAAGTTGTGTTCAGAATATATACCCAGGCTAGAATATCTTGAACCAGTAGTCTTTAGCAAAATTTAAATGGCTGTTTTAGTAACGCACATGTGAGAGAAGTATATATTATTAATTTATTATAAGAAAATTACACATTTTCACACTGGTGAAAATGTTAAGTTGCTTATTTACATAAGATTGAATTTTTTTGATAATATTGAAATTAATATCAAACTGGAAATGATGGGATTATAAATCAAATTCCAAAGATACATGTCTATATAAAAATGGTAAAAGAATTTATAAGATTAAGAAAAAATGCTGGAAGGATCTATGATTAAAGGGCTCATTGTTCTTTAAGTTCTTCCTCCTAAACAGTTCCAATCCATCTAGTGACTTTAAGAAAATATCCTTTAAATTAAACTGATTTAAAATTGTAAGCAGATACTGCCTTTGCATATGTAACCATGGTAACCAAAATGTCACAATTAATATTATTGTATTAATCAGTAATCATGTCTTCAGTAACAAGCTGTTGATTATTATTCCTGGGAATGAACAGATCTATAGACCTACCAATGAAATCACAGGAAATTCTGATGATGGTACATTGTAACTTAAATTCTTCATCATGAATAGTGTTTACACAGAATTCTCATTAATTCACAATGTAAACTCCCACAATACATCTACAAACAAAACATTTGTTGTTAAGACCAGTGCAAGAAGGTCGCTACCAAAGCCATGGAAATCAAAAGTAATAAAATGCCAAATTTGTGAATATTCTTGAAATTGAAATTTCATTTTTTAACAAAAAGTAAAAGTCGTTATCGAAGTGTTTGTATCCAATACATCACTTCTCTAATACACTTACAGAAATAAATATTAACAAAAGGAAAGTGTCTAGAAATAGATCGATCATTTATATGGTAATAAGTTTTTCAATTTGAATTAGGTTTGATTTGTACCAGTGTGTTTTTTCAACACACACTTATTAAGCTATAATTGTATTATATCAATGTTTTTGCTCAACTCTATTTATTATAAATACTTTATCATGTATTTCATAGTCCTTTAGCATTATCATATCACAGGGGCATGAGGAGAAAATCTTTTTAATGAGATATATATATATGAGGCCCCTGTGTGAATACATTATTGTGATGTCATATTTATATAGATCATATCTAACATGTATTATTACCATAGCATTTTAAAGAATTACTTACAGTATTAAAATATTGAATGCATTATTGTATGAGGTTTTAAACCCTGACTTATGATATAGAAGTGTAATGTATGTGTAGACTGGAATCACCAGACACTGTCTATTAAGACCACTTTTAGTAAATATTAGTTAGTAATATGTTGAATCCAAGGTACTTTAATCTTTTTTTTCTCAAAAGTTAGAAACTATGAAATCATCCTGCTTTGTAGAGATCCAATTGAAGTCTGAATTATTCATTTTCACACAAATTTTAAAATTACAATGACTATATCAGTATAGAAAATGAAATGAAAATCGAAAATAGTTTTTAAGAAAGGAAATTTTTGAAAAGTTATTTATCATTAGTATTGCAAATAAATTCAAAATTAACAAGTGCAGAATGCTGACAAAATGGTTTTTTTTTTACTTTTTTTTGTTTTTTGGGGTTTTTTTTTGTAAGAATAAAGCATAAAGAATAAAGGTTAGTTTCCATTGATATTCTTAAAACTACAGACATTCTGGTAGAAGGATATATATATCTAAGTATGTGTAGTATTGTTTTATAAAGAAAACAATTATTTCAACAGTAAAATAACTTACCTATCTGTCAATCTATCCAAAACCTGATTGATTTAAACTATAAAACACTGGAGAATGTGTTTTCTGATACAAATATTTGATATTTGGGACATGGAACACAACTAAAATCTGTTTAAGTAATAATTCATCAGAAGTATCAATATTTAAAAAACACTGAATTTGTCTGTGGTATAACAGATACACATGTAAATTAACACAAATCATTATCAATATATTACTTATCCAAGTACGTTATATTTCACATTTTATTTTTAATCATTCAATTAACTGTTGTAGAGAGCCATCCTGATGAAATATTACAATAACTTATGTTTACTAACATTGTACCACAAAATCTGGTAAAAAAAACTTTTTTCAATTTTCTAGATCTGAATGAAAATAAATGTCTTACAGTGCATTGAAATGTAATGATGGCAAAGAGTTATAAAAACATTTGACCTTTTTTTTCTTCTTCTTGGGTGGGGTTATAATTTCCTCAAAAGCTTCAATATTTTTGTGTGATTTTTTTATAGCTTAATGTCCCTTTTCTTTCCCATACACTCCTATGTATGTAGTATACAATTAGTTTACTTCCATTTGGTGCTACATACCGATAATCATTGTTTTTCATCCATGGCATACTTGTGCTCATACTACATTTCCATTGGTGAAGAATTCTGTAAAAAGTCACTGAATCGGTCTCCTTCTGAGGTTGGCGTAAATAACTTCTTGAACCTAGAAAATTTGCCCGAGTTGTCTAAAAACATTGATAACGAAAAATACAGTGCATGTATATATAAGGGTGTAACATGCATAGGTAAAATATTTCTAGTTTTATTGGAAAATGGACGTTCAGTTGATTAGCTGTTAACCAGGCATATGAATTTACATATGTAAATGTACCTATGTTGAACATTCACATCGGGACAAATTCATGTGTGGTTTGAACTGTATCCTGCCAATTTCAGATAAACATATTCTTTTAAGCGTACCTGGATCTAATTTAAGCATCCATGTGAAAAATTAAAGCTTTGAAAGATTTTTTTTTTCTTTTTTTATCTTCATGAATTCCCATTTGATTAGGGGACAATTTAATATCGGAATACTTTTATCAAGACAAAAGAAACATAATTTCCAGTTTCTTAATCAAAGACAAATAACTTGTTAATGATTAAACATACAGAGCTGTTATTATGCTTCAGTTTGTAGGTTTTTACCTGCTGTGACAATTTTGTTACAGATTATGTTTTTGCTACCCGTGTATGTGCTGAAGATCTGTGGCTTTGTGTGTTGCGACAAACGATACTGTTAAGTTTCTTTATATGTATCAGTATTTCTGTTGCAAATGATATTTTATATTACACTTGTTTTATTTTTTCTTCCAACTTCTGTGATACATTGGATATATATTGTTTGCAATAAATGATAAAAATCTATAAATGTGTGGATGTTTCCTATCAATCCACAATCTCGACACAGATTGACATCTTCTTTCTCGTATAATAATTGTATAGCTAAAGAAGGAAGCAATTTTCAGCTTTTGTTGAACAGTATGGAAATCTATTCTAGATAGAAAAAAATTATCATGTGCATCCAAAAAAGATATTTGTTGTGTAAAAAGATTTCTCCACACAACAAACCACAACAATAAACAAGAAACCACAATAGACAATCGTCACTCAAAAACAAGAATTTATTGTAACAGATCAACAATAGCTGTGTAGATAAGCGTTGTGTAAACATTCAGTTAGGTGGCTTCTTCATTCACATTAATGGTCTACTTCTTATCCCAAGGGAGTACCTAGGTCCATGTAATCTACACTTTCAACTTCAAATAACAAATGGATTAGTAAACATGTTTTAAGAATTTTAGATATAGAAATTTATGAATAAACATATCTATTAAAAGCTATACAATGGAAATAAAGCACATGTATGAAGATATTATATGTAAAAAAGGAAAATATGAAAATACTGATTTCTTGAATATATTTCTCCTGATAGTAATAAACAAGTATGCAACTATTTGATAAATAGTTAAGATTTGAATTTCCTACCAACACAAATACAATATATGTTTATATTAACAAATTTTACTTAAATCTGATAACTAAAACAGCTACAAATGTCGACAGGTGCACTGAATCTGCCCTTTAAGGTGCTCTGCTCAAGTCTTAAATTAAAATGTGGACACTGCAATAGGCTCTGCTTCATACACACTACCACAGACTTAGATATTCTAAGTCCATGACAGTACATTATACATGTAGTGTAAAGCAAAACAAATCTTTGAACCATATCACAAACATTATTATATTATTGAATTAGGAATTATTTCCACAGGTTTGAAATATACCTTTTGTAACAAATTCTATATCAAATGTCCTTATTATCATTGTTTACATCTGTCAGGAATTCCTTCGTAATATTCATACATTTAATACACCAGAAAACAAGATCTTCTTGAAAAAATAAACTTGAAATTTGAAAATAAATTGAAAAACCAACATGACTGATAATGGTTTAATGGTTTTGATTGGGAAAACCTCGGATAAAAGGATTGAGAGGTGCGTAGACATGTAGTACAGTACATGACATATTGCGGACTAAATATGTATAACATTGATTGCACAATTAACTCCCTGTGTAAGTAATTAAGACAGATTTATTAATGGATCATGATAATTATGATTTCTACAGAGATCAAACAAATTATGCAGCAACAATATTGCATTTTTCATGGACTGTTATTGATGTAATTAATACTCAGTAGTAACATCAAATGCTGTGTTTTGATCTATAGGAGAACAAGTTGACAATAAACAGTAACGACAGTCAATACACTACAGACCTCAAACAAAATCTACAGGAACAAGACCATTCAATAATAACAGTCCCCAACAGAATGTGAAATTAATGTGAATCTTCCAACTGCCCATAGTAAGACGTTCCAGTGACTGGAAGTGTAGGAGATCTAGTCTTGACCATCTTTTGATGTAGGTCAAAGGTCAAAGTGAACATCTTTTGATATTGATACACCACATTTCACCTCACCATTTAAGGTAAAACCCCTATACCCTTAGTATTGTATCAGGTTCTAGTAACTAAGAGTGCAGGAGACAGAGTCCGGACAAGATAGTCAAAGGATAGGCAGAAAGACAGCAGGACAGAAAGATAGCAGGACAGAAAGACAGTAGGACAGAAAGACAGCAGGACAGAAAGATAGCAGGACAGAAAGACAGCAGGACAGAAAGATAGCAGGACAGAAAGACAGCAGGACAGAAAGACAGCAGGACAGAAAGATAGCAGGACAGAAAGACAGCAGGACAGAAAGATAGCAGGACAGAAAGACAGTGGGACAGAAAGACAGTGGGACAGAAAGATAGCAGGACAGAAAGACAGCAGGACAGAAAGATAGCAGGACAGAAAGACAGTAGGACAGAAAGACTGTAGGACAGAAAGACAGCAGGACAGAAAGATAGCAGGACAGAAAGACAGCAGGACAGAAAGATAGCAGGACAGAAAGACAGTAGGACAGAAAGACTGTAGGACAGAAAGATAGCAGGACAGAAAGATAGCAGGACAGAAAGATAGCAGGACAGAAAGACAGTAGGACAGAAAGACAGCAGGACAGAAAGATAGCAGGACAGAAAGACAGCAGGACAGAAGAACGGATGGACACTACACAAAAATATATCCCTGGTTCCATGTGTCCTAAGGTCAAAATATGTCAGCAACCAAATTAAGAATAAAGGAGAATATACTGCTTGGCAAGCTGGCTTCAGGAGTTGCTTCTCTTCATTTTTAGTTGTTTACTATTTTCTGAGAGAGCTCCCAACCTGACTAGGAATCTTCCCGAGACCCAGTAGATAATCAAATCTACACATATGAATTCAGCTGGATGTTGGTTCTAAGAGAATTCTTCAACCTGGTGACTTTTCTCATCTGGTTTTATATAATTTTACATTTAGGTCATGAAATAAAGTTTAATGCAGCACAGTCTACTCGGAACAAGAGTAGAATGTACATGTGCATCACACACACAGGTATATTACTGATAATGATCGAGGGACGAAATAAAACACATCAGGTCTATTAGGGAGATAGTTTCTAATAATGGAGGGAAAATATCAAAATAGAAATGACACAAAAGGTGAACAAAAGAATGCTTCAGAATCATGAGTAAGAAAATCAGGTTCAATTATCATCAGCGTGTTACACATGGTCATTTACGTCTACATGGTAATATGTTTGAAGTCCATTTCTAGACGCCCATTTCTAGACGTCCATTTCTAGACGTACATTCCTGTAAATGGTAGTTTGTTGGTTTGTGTAGGTCTGAATGACTGTAGGTATGTGAAGGTTATCAGGAGGCAGACCAAATATTGCCAAGTGTTATAAAACATACAGGTTAAATTATATAGGGAAATAGCAGAAAGTTGCTAGAGGTCACATATACATGATAGGGTCCCAGAAATGTTCTAAAATTAATTATAACTGTGGACACTGCTATATAACTTGGACAATATATATTAATTCTTGGTTTGCCTAATATGACATTATGAACATTTTGATTTTAAATATAGTGTGTGTCTAAAATTCAGAACTCTGATTTTGCAGAATATTAACAAAATCAATCAACTGAATTAACATTATTGTTGGATTTTACTTAAGACATTCAGGAGACATTGGGAACTTCTTCACCGACTACAACATAATCACAAGGCAGCCAAACAACTAAAGTTCAAACACATGATCCACGCTGTGGTGTGCTGGTGTTTAATGGAATGCTTTCACACAGAAATTAATCACTGATTCACATACTTATATGACAAAGCTCAGTGAAAAAACACCAATAAATAATACACACTCTTTCCAATATACAGACATCCTGTACATACTGTATACACACACTCACCTATAACACCATCAATCATATTCAATCATAACTCTAAACTCTAATGGTAAAATGTACAGGTAAACTGAGCAGGAAAATCAGGTAACACACAGGTAAAATACATTGATGTCAGGTAAAACTACTTACCATAATTAGTACAGATGTAACTTGTGTAATAATTCCTAAACATTTGAATTGAAGTTTTACAAAAATGTGATTTAAAATGCTCAGATAAATGCCAATAAGTTATAAACTTTAGAAAATCAGAAATAACAACTTAAATCATGTATCTATATATAACTATTTTTTATAAAGAGTTAGTATCACTTATAGAATAATTTTAGTACAAGTGTTCTGTAGTTAATAACAAAGCATACCTAATCAAGTTTGAATATATTCATCCTATTACCAAAGCCAAGTCATAGAGATCACACCAATAATTTCCTAACATAGAAAATTACAGCTCAATAGCACAGTTGCTATGGATACCTGGCTGTCCCCTGGTGTTGCCGTCGGAACTTTGACATGATGAAAGGCGTGGCTGCCAGTGCTAATATGCTGATACCAAGAAGGGGGCGATACCGGATCCAGCCAATAGCAATCACGGTTAGAGACAGACTGATTGACAATGACAAATTCAGAATCGTCACACCAGCAGCGACCAGGTCTCGGATAATGGGCAGCCAATCAACTGAAACAATTAAATCAAGGCTTGAAAAGAAGTGATATCTTCAGAAGCTATGAACTATGGACATGATTTGTAAAATTCATACAATGGAGATTTTAATGTTGATATATGTATCTCAGTTTAAAATCAATTTCTACCGTACTGACATGATATTTACCATATCTATACAACAATAAGTTCATGCTTGGAAATAAGGTCACACATGTCTAGTGAAAATTCAGTAACAAAGTCTAAACAGTCCACTACATATTTAGAGCTAAAAACATCGTGTTGTCTCCCTAGACTTAATACAGGGTTAAAACCAACCTGGTAGAACCCTGAAACTTTCAGTAACCACACTAGCTCCTGTGAAACACTCAGGACATTTCTATATAATCAATTACCTGTCAGAAGTTCTATCTCTAAATTTCAGGAGTTCTTCCCCTTTAAAGTTATGTGTGGTCCTCATTCCAATTTATCCAATGGAATAATCTTCAGGCATTCTAAAATCACAACTCTAATACAGTTATTGGGGAAAAACAAAACTATGTTGACCCTATGACCTTATCTACTGACCCTGTCAACAAACAATACAAACCTGGAGAGACATTGAGATCTTACCTAGAAAATGACACTACCACCAAGCTTGTTTAGAGAATAACCCATCTGCTTACCTAGAAAATGACACTACCACCAAGCTTGTTTAGAGAATAACCCATCTGCTTACCTAGAGGTTGACCTTGAGATCTTACCTAGAAAATGACACTACCACCAAGCTTGTTTAGAGAATAACCCATCTGCTTACCTAGAGAATGGCCCTGGAAGCTTACCCTCAGAATGTCCATGAGAGCTTACCTGCGGGTATCTAGAAAATGACTCTGAAAACTTACCTAGAGTGGTGATTATACTTGTTAAACATCCAAAACCGATAAACATGAGAAGCCAGCCTCCGAATCTTAGGGCCCAAGTCACAACAGTGTTGAAGCTTTGTTCTTTGGCAAACATTTTCTGTAAATATAGATTAAAAACAGATTTCACCTGCATGAATCCTATGAATAACTTGATTTGGATATACACATATTTGTTTAATAATTAAAGATATTCTGATCTTGTACACTAATCAATAAATTACATTATATCAGAAACTTTAATACAAAGATGCAGATGGGGTCTGTATAGCCTCGATGTCTCAGCTTTCACATTAAAACATTTTCCTTCAAAATTATTAGTGTTTTATGCTTAAAATGAGGAATTTTTAAGCTTCAAATGAAATTTTGTCCAAACCCTTTCATCTAAGCAGAAAAAATATCTAATCCCAAGGCCTTTTGTTTGCACAAACCCCTTCACCAAAAGATAGTCAAATTAATATGGTTAAAATACCTTCATTGCAACAGTTAAGATCTAAATATATATATATCATACAAGTACAAACAACACTTCTGCTGACTTACCAATTTTCATAACCAAAAACATGGCCATTCAATGGTAATAAGCACCCTGCACTCTGTGCTCTCAGCACTTCAAAAAGATTTATATCATAATATTATCATTTCCTGGTAAACAGTGATCAGTTTTTCCTAATTCATGTATACACAACAAAATATTTACAAAAGATAATCTGAATTTCTCAGCTAATTTACTATATAGGTTTAATGATTCCATAGAATGATAATAGATCAGTATATTATACAACACTGAGTAACCATACAAACCTTGGCAGACAAAGCCCCAGGGTACAGCATTTCCAGAACATCCCCTGCCACAGTACTGTAACTTTTCAGTTGATCTCCCAGCTGTCTTGCCACTATACTCACCTACATGAAGACAAAAAGTCATGTGTTTTACTGCATCATCAACTACACTCTGTTACCATCAAACTGGATATGAAAATATCTTACAACCCAATTACTTACTTAAGTCACAATGCATTGATGGGAAAGTGTCGTAATTTTTCTTATCTGTATTGACATTTTGGGACTGTTCATATGAAAACATTTTCTAAACCTTAATATCTGTTTATGTTTTATTGTACAAACAATAAGATCAGATCTTTAAAAACTATTTATAGATACACATATTTTAACAGTACTTACAATGTCTGCATCTCCCATCATGGATTGTCCACTGAGGCCTGCATACTCAAACTTAATCCTCAAGTCACCTACCTGTATAAGAAAATATACAAAAATGCAAAAACTTATCAGCAGAGGAAGAAAATACAAAATTTCCCTGGTACAGAAAAACTTTTGTCAACGATACCTGATAAAGTTGTTTGATATCAATGTGTCTTAAGCTGATAAAGTTGTTTGATATCAATGTGTCTTAACTTGATAAAGTTGTTTGATTTCGGTGTGTCTTAACTTGATAAAGTCATGAGATATCAAAGTGTCTTAACCTGATAAAGTTGTGAGATATCAATGTGTCTTAACCTGATAAAGTTGTTTGATATCAATGTGTCCTAACCTGATAAAGTTGTGAGACATGTGTCTTTACGTGATAAACTTGTGAGATATTTGTGTTAACCTGCTACGTTAACGAGATATCCAAGTTTTTTACACTCTTTAGGGTTGCCAGTGTGTGTGCATTTACCTGTGGACTCATTGGATTTAAGCTGTGAATAAAGTAACCATCCAAAATGTGGATATTTGGATCACCAGGTTGGGTAAGTAATTGACCATCCACAGGCTTAAAGTTGGAAATCTTGCCCACCAATCCTTAAATAATACAAAAAACATGACTGTAAGGTAACTATTTTAATACATGTTTGATGATTTTACTGTTTTGAAGAAAACTTGAAAAACTGCCCCAGTTATGCAACACTTGTGTTAACATCAAGAATAGTGGACACTGTCTACATCACATCATAAAAATCACAGCCAATAAGTCAACTAGCCTTGATGTGTTTACATTCCTTTTCACTAAAAGTTATCTTTTCAAAGTAAACATTGGTAAAAAGATAAATAAAAAATTTCAAATTGAGCCTTTTAACTTTTGTGACAAATAATTTCTATTAATCTTAATACCTTTTTAACAAAATGCATGTTGAAGTTATTTACAACTAAAATACCATGCTATATTTCTTATCACTTTTTATGATGGTTAATTTGTGGCATTTCCATATTTCAGATGAGAATTAAAAATCTAAATTCTCCTTCTTGAAAAGGTAAGAGTCAACCAACCTTTACTCTTATCTTTTTTTCGTCTTTTCATACCTCATGGTAAATGGCCATCAGGAGATAGCTGGTAATCTCATAGGTAATGGTAAATGGCCATAAGGAGATAGCTAGTAATAACGTACGTCATGGTAAAAGGCCATCAGGAGAAAGCTAGTAATCACATACGTCATGGTAAATGGCCATCAGAAAAGCTAGTAATCACATACGTCATGGTAAATGACCATCAGGAGAAAGCTAGTAATCACATACATTTATGGTAAATGACCATCAGGAGAAAGCTAGTAATCACATACGTCATGGTAAATGGCCATCAGGAGAAAGCTAGTAACCACATACGTCATGGTAAATGGCCATCAGGAGAAAGCTAGTAATCACATACGTCATGGTAAAAGGCCATCAGGAGAAAGCTAGTAATCACATACGTCATGGTAAATGGCCATCAGGAGAAAGCTAGTAACCACATACGTCATGGTAAATGGCCATCAGGAGAAAGCTAGTAACCACGTACGTCATGGTAAATGGCCATCAGAAAAGCTAGTAATAACGTACGTCATGGTAAATGGCCATCAGGAGAAAGCTAGTAATCACATACCTCATGGTAAATGACCAATGACCATCAGGAGAAAGCTAGTAACCACATACGTCATGGTATATGGCCATCAGGAGAAAGCTAGTAATCACATACATCATGGTGAATGGCCATCAGGAGAAAGCTAGTAATCACATACGTCATGGTAAATGGCCATCAGGAGAAAGCTAGTAATCACATACATCATGGTGAATGGCCATCAGGAGAAAGCTAGTAATCACATACGTCATGGTAAATGACCATCAGGAGAAAGCTAGTAATCACATACGTCATGGTAAATGGCCATCAGGAGAAAGCTAGTAATCACATACATTTATGGTAAATGACCATCAGGAGAAAGCTAGTAACCACATACATTTATGGTAAATGGCCGTCAGGAGAAAGCTAGTAATCACATACGTCATGGTAAATGACCATCAGGAGAAAGCTAGTAATCACATACGTCATGGTAAATGACCATCAGGAGAAAGCTAGTAATCACATACATTTATGGTAAATGGCCGTCAGGAGAAAGCTAGTAATCACATACGTCATGGTAAATGGCCATCAGGAGAAAGCTAGTAATCACATACGTCATGGTAAATGACCATCAGGAGAAAGCTAGTAATCACATACGTCATGGTAAATGGCCATCAGGAGAAAGCTAGTAGTCACATACGTCATGGTAAATGACCATCAGGAGAAAGCTAGTAATCACATACGTCATGGTAAATGACCATCAGGAGAAAGCTAGTAATCACATACGTCATGGTAAATGACCATCAGGAGAAAGCTAGTAATCACATACATTTATGGTAAATGGCCATCAGGAGAAAGCTAGTAACCACATACGTCATGGTAAATGACCATCAGGAGAAAGCTAGTAATCACATACGTCATGGTAAATGGCCATCAGGAGAAAGCTAGTAACCACATACGTCATGGTAAATGACCATCAGGAGAAAGCTAGTAACCACATACGTCATGGTAAATGACCATCAGGAGAAAGCTAGTAATCACATACGTCATGGTAAATGGCCATCGGGAGAAAGCTAGTAACCACATACATTTATGGTAAATGGCCATCAGGAGAAAGCTAGTAACCACATACGTCATGGTAAATGGCCATCGGGAGAAAGCTAGTAACCACATACGTCATGGTAAATGGCCATCGGGAGAAAGCTAGTAATCACATACGTCATGGTAAATGGCCATCGGGAGAAAGCTAGTAACCACATACGTCATGGTAAATGGCCATCGGGAGAAAGCTAGTAACCACATACGTCATGGTAAATGACCATCAGGAGAAAGCTGAAGCCACAGCTTCTAGTTGACCTGTAATTACCTGTAGATAATTGAAATGGTCCAACATTCACCAGATGTGCCGTCTGTGTCTTCGACTGGACAGCCATAGATCTGTGACAATTAAGGAATTAAAAGTAAATAGATGATGATATTGTTGAGAGTTTCACACTTAGATCTCCTTTAGAATAGTGAGTGAAGTATTACTACATGAAGCTAATAATTCAGAGATTTTCAGCTAAATACCACATACATGTATGTAGGATGATATTTTTATGAGGGTGAAGCTCAAGTGAAAAATACTGCAGCATTCTTCTAATGAGTGAAATTTGATACGTATCTTAAATTTTTTTAAAGTATGATGATAAAAACTGTCAAAGCATCAAAAAGCTGTACAATATAATCTTTGATGCCAAACTGCCACACCATATTGTTCATTAGACTACGAAATAACACCATTTGATCAAACTACTTGATACAAGTCTATTGTATTCTGATATTGTGTAGTACCAATATTTGTAGTAATTTATTTGGTGTCTGAAGCAAACAGTTGTATTCCAAAACGAACATTTATTTGACACTCTACTACATTGGTACGTGTACATCATAAACTTTGCAGTTTGCTTGTGATGAATATCTAGTATACAGCTCTAACAGACACGTTCTAAAAGTGATACTCTCATAAAGATAATGTAAAAATACATGTTATACTTATAGAACATGTGATATTTTACTTATATTTTAATTGATAATTTTACATATACTGCCAGTAATGTAGGAATTTCCAAAATGAATCACAAAGTTTTGTAGATTTTTGAATGTACTGTATCTCACTTGAACTAATTAATGTATTTCTATGTAATTCTAATGTTCCTTCAATTCTAAATATTCTTGTGAAGTCTACAATTGTTATCATCTATTCTAAGCAACTCTGAAATTATCAATTTATCAGGCATTTGTCAAATGTTACAGCAATTGTTGTCTTATATAGATTGTGTTAATCAACTAATTATCAAACTTCTGTAGATACATGTACATGTGGCAAAAGGCATTCAAACTACTGTAGGTATAGAGTAAGATAAGAATTGATACTAGAAAATGTTTCAAATATTACCTCTAATACATTTGTATCACTTTCCAACGTGCCTGATATGTTCCTGCCTATATATGTCTGTACTTACGTTGGATTTCGATGACTGAATTCATTATCAAACTGTACACTTCTCACAAGATCTGACCGCCATTCCTGTGCTACAAAATTAACACAAAATCAGTTTGATTGGTTCTTGTGTCTAGTGAATAAACAATAAAAGTATAAAAATGTATAAAATATATATTCTGTTTACATCAAAGGTTGACTATGATTTTCCGTGAAATAAATTGTTTATTTCAAAATATTGCCAATGATTTTCCAAGAAATAATTTGGCACATCAGTCATATGAAATACTTGGTCAAACTAAGTCTGTAATCATGTAAGATATAATCTATGTATATATATAAATTTGTATATGTACAAAAATTAAGGTCTGTAATGGGATAGTGATTGTCTGTTGATTTTTTATCTAATCGTTCTTTTCCAGTTAATATCTTTGCATCACATGATTCTATCATAATTAAGTTCTGATATATTTCAGCAGTAACAACAATATACAGATCTGTATATATATATGTATATAAATAATGATACATGCAAAATAATGCTACAAAATAGTCAAAGGGAGATAACCACACTCACAATAGGAATAGGTAGTTTCTGTCCTGGTATGACTGCCTTCATTGTACTCTCTGGAACAAAATGAAATAACAAGATCTAAACACCACAAAAAAACCAATTCCAGTCTGGTTTTTTCATAACCAATTAGAGATTCATTGTTCATTATATAGATCTGTAATTACTGAATAAACAAACGTATAACTGTAATCATCACATCTCATCCTAACACTCACACAAGGAGCCATCCTAAAACTCACACAAGGAGCCATCCTAACACTCACACAAGGAGCCATCCTAACACTCAAACAAGGAGCCATCCTAACACTCACACAAGGAGCCATCCTAACACTCACACAAGGAGCCATCCTAACACTCACACAAGGAGCCATCCTAACACTCAAACAAGGAGCCATCCTAACACTCACACAAGGAGCCATCCTAACACTCACACAAGGAGCCATCCTAACACTCACACAAGGAGCCATCCTAACACTCACACAAGGTGCCATCCTAACACTCACACAAGGAGCCATCCTAACACTCACACAAGGAGCCATCCTAACACTCACACAAGGAGCACATCTATGGATGCATATTAGCCCTGACTTCATGTTGACTTATTACATTTATTGTATCAAATGATAAGGTGTTATTGTAAATGATGTACATTGAACAATATGAAATATTGTGAAATATATATTAAATTATATAAAGCTATATATTAGATATAGTAAACAATATGTCATTTTGTCATAGCTGGTTTATATTACAGAAATGACATTCCGATAAAAATTTCATAAATAATGAGAATTACGTTTTACTCTGATGCTCCACCCACTGGAACATCTCTACCGTTCTCTTCAGGTGGACGGCGTGTACTGCTATGTTGTAAGTTGAATCTGTCAATACCTAACACCATTAACAAAAAATTAATGATAAATACATGTACATGGTCTCTCCTGGTGGAGGGTAGTAGTGGAACACTACTGTACCTATCCCCCGTAAACAGTGTAAACCAACTTTCTTTCACATCTATAAAATTTTGTGATTTCCATATTAATTTGCACCAGTTACTATTCAAGAAACAGACAGTACACTCTTACTACTAATTATTGTCTCAGATTTTATTAGTGGCAATTAAGGTAGTCCAACCGTTCAGATTTTATTAGTGGCAATTAAGGTAGTCCAACCGTTCAGATTTTATTAGTGGCAATTACGGTAGTCCAACCCTTCAGATTTTATTAGTGGCAATTAAGGTAGTCCAACCCTTCAGATTTTATTAGTGGCAATTAAGGTAGTCCAACCGTTCAATTTTTATTAGTGGCAATTAAGGTAGTCCAACCCTTCAGATTTTATTAGTGGCAATTACGGTAGTCCAACCCTTCAGATTTTATTAGTGGCAATTAAGGTAGTCCAACCCTTCAGATTTTATTAGTGGCAATTAAGGTAGTCCAACCCTTCAGATTTTATGGGATAAAACTTTACTGAAATGTAAGTCATCTGAACCAGCTACTTGAAAAAAATATTGAATGATTCTACAACAAGCAAGTATATATGAATAATGCCGACTACCTTTCCAGACACAGTGACAAGATTTTGTCTTTGTTTCTTTAAAATTGATCACTTACCCTGTCAGTCTTTAACTTGCCAGTGAGGTGAACAAGTTTACCATTATTATGGTCAAACACCACATCAATGTTATCCAAGGGAACTACACTGGCTAAACCTTCATCTAGGGATTGTGCAGTCTGAACCGCTCGTCCCTACAAAGTATGATTCATCAAGTATTTTAACAGTACAATCTCTATTTACAACGTAATCTTACATATACAAATAAGCGTTTAGAAAATAAAATTTATCAAAGTTTTTTTTTTTTTTTTCACATTGATCTTACCATAAAAAGAACACGACTAGTAACATTAAAGGTTTAACAGATGTATAGACCAGCTTCAACAAAGAGAACTCAAGACTTTACAATGAAGATGATTAAAGGTAGCTTACCTCATTGAAAAATAGAAGTCCTGACGCAATAAACAATAAAACAGTTCCAATCAAAATTCCAGCACAGCTGTTTCCAATCCTTTCAAAAAACGTAGCATTCCTCCTAAAGGTGGTACGAGTGTGTCGATCATTCATATTATGCATTCCAGGATCATCGGGATACTAGCAGGAAAGATAACATATTACTACAGAACAGATAAATAATTTTAATTGTCAACAATGAAATTCTATAATATTGTTTAAGTACACTACAGCATGAAACAGCAAATTATAGAGATAGAACAGGGCCTTTAACACTGTACCGAAATGTTGGTAAGTAACTATCGGCTATTGCCAACATGGCCAAGGCCAATCTGAGTGAAAAAATATATATGTCTCTTCTCATATTTGTACAGCTGTTCCAACAGCGACAATAGACAAAAATGTTCAAACAATAATATTAGACATTTCTGAACTGAGCTCTCAAGCTTTAAGTGTCTATTGAAGGAGAAAGGACCTATGCATATTTAGGCTTGTAGGTGACTTAAAATGTGTTTTCAAAGCGAAAGTAGGTATTTCACTAACAAATGTCATCATTTTGCTGATCCATACATGTTTCACAATTGTGCTATGCTTCAAATTGTTTGTTTACAAAATAGTACTGGAGGTATTGGAACTAAACAAACATTACCAGTATCATTCAGCCTCAGTCACATTAAAAGTGTGTAACTACAGTTACCTACCGCTGGCTCCGTACAGAGACTAGATATGGTACTACTGTTATTGATATTCTGTGGGCCCTGGTAGTAAAACTCACTTAGCCTTCCAATAGCCCTACAGTTACCTACCATGGGGTTCGGTACGGAGACTAAATATGGGACTACTGTTATTGATATTCTGTGGGCCCTGGTAGTAAAACTCACTTAGCCTTCCAATAGCCCTACAGTTACCTACCATGGGGTTCGATACAGTGACTAAGGGACTGCTCTAGATACTAAACAAATGTATTCTGTGTGTCCTGGTAGCTATATATCCACTTAAACTTCCAAGTTTGATATGATGTTAACTAGTCCAACAGGTTTTCACTATATATCCATGGTTCTGTTTTTTGTCTTGGTCAAGAAAAACTGAAACTACAGAGAGATAGTCTGAACCCTTTGTACTAGTTGTTAAACTTCTTATCAAAATACTGTGTCAATGTGGTTTTTTATTAATTCAAATAAGTTAACTGATATGAAGACATCACTTGGATACATACAAGTTGGATGGGCTGGATGATTTTAATATCAACCATATGAAAACAGACACAGGACAATATTGATAAAAGGTTACATATATACATCATTACATGTTGTCATAATTGTATGTACATCATGTATATCTAATCAATAAAGGGTGATCCAACACTCCTGATGTAGAACTTGGTGGTAGTGTCTTCGGTTGGATCCCCTTGGGATTCAACAGAGTTCCTTACTAAGAAAACATAATAAATAAAAAGGAAATCTCAGCAAGAAGGCTTATTGTTGCTGAGTTTTCCTTTTTATTCAACATGTATAGTTATACCGATGTGTACAGTGTACATGTATATTATATTATGTTCATGGACATATATTGTGATTTTTACATACTTTGTTAGTGTCCGTGAACCGGACCGTTTTCGTTTATCGGTTTGAACAATTAACATGTAGTTGTTTAAATCATCTAGCCTTGTATTGTGTTTTTGACAAGTCTTCTTACGACCGTGTAAACGAAAGCGGTCCGTGTGAATCTCTAAATATTCTTGCGATAAGGCCTACCTCACGAAGTAATCTTACCACGAATGTCAGTCGTTAGACAGGTAATTAATCTGCACTGAAATACTTACGTTACGCCTGTACATGTCTGTAGATATCAGTATAATCTTCAAACTAACATATGACTCTCTTCCCACAACGTTCAACTTGACTATTGTTTTGCTAGTTTCACTTCGGACCGGATATGCATTCGGCCGAATTTCATTGGCTGTAAACGGTCACGTGCTAAAGGTATTTTTTCCCTTTGAATCGTCTGCACACGTGTCTCTTGCGATAAAAATATATATGACCAACAAGTACCGACAGGTAATACTTCCTGTGATAACCCATTTCAAGTAACATTTGACGTGTTATTTTATACACAAAGTATCTTTTGAAAAAATTGTTTCGTTTATTTAATGTCATACAAGTTGTGGTTTTTTTCTTCAGCGACCATATTTACGATATTCACAGTATCAGAGTCTTTAACATGTTATATACTTAGAGGAAAAAGAAACGTAACTCCAACTTTACGGTTTAATGAAATAAAATATGAACAATAAGTCTATATGTGAAATGCGATATTTAATCTCGAATATTAGGTCTTCCGTTTTCAAATTTTGTGAGATTTTTTTAACAAGTGAGGACTTCATTATTATATTAAGCCGCAATTAATCATGCTACCCTATACTAAAGTAAACAAAGTTGATATGACGGTAGTTGTCAGACCAATCTCTAAATATCGTGTGAACCTCCTCGAACAGTGTCTCTGCGTGGCATGGAGTTCCGAACGACAGTGACTGCACGTAGATGATTACCTTCCTCTGTAAGTGCGCTGACCAATTGGCCGAGGTTGTTTGGGATGTTTGTTCGATTCCGAACTCTTCTAATCCATCTCACAAGTTTTTGATTGAGAACAGATCAGAACGATATGGAGGTCTATCAATACGGACGATTTCTGGGTTGCAAGAAAGTTCCTACACCCTTGCAAGTGTGGCCTAGCGTTATCATGCTGAAAGGTCAAATGGTGCTTTGTAATGATAGACACATGAGGCTCCATGATCTCACATCGATAGCGTTGAGCCGTTAAATTCGCGTTAATGATTACTAGAGGTGTCTTTAAACCACGAGAAATTCCTCCCCAAACCATAACCAAGTCTGTCGTGCTCCATAACACCAGCGACTACACACGCTGACGGATATCTGATGTAACGTAAAGATTCATGATCTGTGAAGGGCATGGACCTCCAACGTATTATAGAGAAACGTCTGGGGACCTGTGCCGTCAACGATCGCATACGAGGTGCTCAACGTTGAGGTGTCAATGGCAAACCAGAACTGGCGCCGTGGGTGTAAATTTGACTCTCGCGGACTTTTTGTTAGTTTGGGGATAGATTCGACGGTTTTCATTGCCAGTGGGGCGAATCCAATGAGCATCTATAGGAAATAAAGCTAAAAAATTGTCGATGAAATTACAAATTAAATTTCAGTTTCTGATTCGGTGTGTAGAACCCTTTTTTGTTTGCTTGCTTGCTTGTTTGGGTTTCATTTTTGTGGAAACTGACCTATAATGTCCACAGTTCTATGTGTGATGGTGAATTTCAGTGTATTATTCTCAATTCTCAGCTGGCCAATTCAAGGGGGTGGGGCGGGGGGAACACTGCACTTACTAGATGGTTGGAATGCTGACATTCGTGGCCATGATGTTCTTGTAGACTTCTCCCGGTCTCTCTGGATAAGGCATTCTTGAAACGAAGGAATGCACACCCGTTTGTTAGTAGTCTATTCCGCGTTTGTCCAAATTTTTATATGAAGATACATATTTGCAATCGTTTTGTACAATATGCTTGTTTTTAATGGTTTCTTTTTTTTTACCAAAGTATCCATTTTATTGAAATAAATATATTGTTCAACTGCACACAACGGAACAAAGACATAGCGTATCTATTCGCATGTTCAGCATGTTAATATATATATTGTAACAACACCTGTGTATGAAGTTTAGCAATAGAAATTACTGGACAAGAAACAAACACCAAGACTATACATGGAGTCTCACCAGGCATGGATCCCTATTGTAGAACACGTCTGCAATTGGATAAATAAACTTCGCGAGTCGGTTTTGTTGGGTATTAGCGGGATTCAAATCAAGTGGTACTGCGTGGAGCTGGGGCTTTCCCTTTTGTTTTCATTTTACAGTGATATATTGCTGATAACGTTATGAAGGTAGCTACTATGTTATCAAATATCTGAGACATAGAGCTTTGTAACATACTCATATTCTTTGGTGTTCAATTTGTACAAAACGTTTCCCCTTAAACTCTTTTTCTTTGTTTTCTTCGTTATTCAAGTTCAAACTTAGGATGTTTCAAAACTTTGGCTGTTTTCTTCTAAAACAGACAGGAAGCCGTATGCAAAATTAATCAATCCACGCATGCGCAACAGTAGTGAAAAGCAGATCACGCAAACTGATTGGTTACAAGAACGAATGAAGAAAACACACATCATATCAGAGACTAGTGACAAGAGTTCAAGGGCGGAGTCAATTTTAAATGTCACGGACAAGGAAATTGACGATCAACCGGTACTTGTTATTATATCGATTTTCGACTTTGAAATATGATCATGTGTTAGTGAGGTGGGGGCGCACATTTTTGTTAACTAAAATACTTTTTTAAACATACCTGTATTGTGTCCGACACCCCATTTTTTCCAGATTATCCAGATGTTTACATTTGTTATACCACCATTAAACATTTTGTACTCATTCTAGCTACGAGTACATTACAAATAGGACAGCGGAAAAAAAGAAAAAAAAAAGAAAAAAAACCTAAAAGATAAAGTACTATAAATAATGTTATGTTAAATTTACCAATAAAAACCATATTTTACGGCAGTTAATACCAGTCAACTTTTTCAAGGTACAATAAATAACATGACATCAGGGGAAGTAACTTTGTATTTGAATGTTTTCTATTCGGTTCTACTATATATAATTACGTGTCACACTCCCAGCAATAAGCATATGCTTCGGAGACTATCATTACAATCGGAGTATACTTTGCTTAAAAACCAAGTGATGTACGTTTTTTTTTTTGTTTTTCAAATGAAGTTAACAACGTTTGGCGAAATTAGCTTTACACAAAAACAAGAGATCCCACAGGGATATTATGTTTTTGTTTGATCTCTATAAGGTTTTTGAAAGTTGGAGCTTATCTCTTCATGTTTTGGTTTTTCTCTAATCATATGAAAGCTGAATGTTCTTCCCATGAAATGGTGATAATAGTCTTTAACTGTCAGTTCTAAGATGGCCACATGTAAGCTATTTTTTACTTATCAGTCCCTAAATCATAAGGGAAAAACTAGGGAACAAAGGAAACTTACAGTATGAAACTGTGGAAAGATCCATCCAGTACTTCTCTAGAAAAGCCACAACAATGGATGACTGTCAGCCATCTTGTTTTTCCGATCATTCCCAAAATGGACTAAAAACAACTAAGGACCAAACTGAACCTACGTATGGAATTTTAGAGAAAGATCCATTAAAACTTTCATAAATAGCATAACAATTTATGACTGTAAAAAACCAAGATGGATGCCTGTCGGCCATTTTGTTTTTCAAACTAATTGCAAAATTGAATATGCACAGCTAAAGAACAATGCAAACCTACATATGAAATTTGAGAATGTTGCATTGAACACTTGATCACAAATAGCTACAACAAGAATGGATGATATGAACAGTCCACCATCTGATAATGGTGGGCTAAATACAACCTTTGTATTTTTCAAAATGTTTTCAAATAGTGAGGTTTTATCAGATGTTAAACAGGAAAAAGACAAATTATCCAGATATCAGTCATTGATAATCAAACAATAAAGAGCAGTTGATCACTTATATAGGTTCTAAAGCACAGTAGAAAATATGTCGGCCTGATTAAATAACAGGGTAATCAGAAGTCAGTACAATAAATCCCAGGTAGCCACGGAAACAAAAAAGATCTCAGAAAATTAGAATGCATGCTGGAAACCATTCTGAATGTCAATTAAACCCAAAACAAGAGCGGTTTCTATGTATGATGTTAGGATTGTAAAGGTTACAAGTTTTATCAATGTTAATCTGAACAAATGAGGACAAGATATACACACACAAACAACTTTGTAATTGTAACAGCCAGTCACTCAAAGATCTTGGTCATTTTTTTTCTTTTACACATTTGCCTTAAAAGCAAGACTGCTCTAATTATGAAGAACACAACAATGGTGATACTTTACAGAAAAAATCTGTTTTTATTTAGAAATACAAATGTGACACTCTGTACTTTAAATTCTATAAAAGCAATATGGCCACAGTAACCACATTCTAATATGTACACATTACAATAGCCTTCCTACAAGTCCTTAAACAAGGTGTATTATCAATTAACTTGCATACAGATCTTCCCAAAGCTTCCTACCATTTTTACTCCAGACTATGTTGAAGTTGTCTCCCTTGACTTAATCATACATCAACGCTGTACAAAAAAGGTCCCTTTACTCAATGTATATAGCGTGTACATTTCGGAAATTTCTTACAGGTGAGCCATGAACTTGCTAGATAAGCAGACATTCACTACTTGGCATACTCTTTGGAATTTCAGCAGAAACAAGCAGACATTTTCTTCAAGTTTGTAAGTCTTTGAGTAGAAGATCACAACATGGAAGAATATAGAGAGACATTTTGATGACTACATCACTGTCGTCTTCATCCCATTAAAATTGATTTTACTATCTTTTTTTAACATTTCGTTTCAAATGTTCTAGGGTTTATAGATCCCCTCATCACTGTTTAGAACAGATGCGGTCATCGTAATCAGCTGACTTCATTGATTGCCACTTGAAAAACTTATTCTCTCAAATCACTTCCTAGGAATTGTCACATGATATGTTTTGCCGTACATCTTGATCCATAAGTGCAGATTTATTGATCCGATACTCTCATTGTTTACGCTTACATCTGGTAAATTTCCTGCCTTCTTGTTATTGATCCGAGACTGATTGTATATGCTGAATCTGGTATATTTCCTGCTTTTTTTCGGTTTCCCTATTTTCTACCTGTCCTTTCACCGTATTCTTCTCATACAATAAATACCAAACAATGCATTTTCCAGTATGCATCAATGTCATTCGTCTGATGAAGGTGACAATGTAGTCATCAAAATATCGCACATAAATTTCTTACTTATTGTGGGCTTCTATACTAAATATTGTTTCACGTTTATGATATCCACACCGGACAGTTAAACATAAGGTTAATCATTAAATACCTGCATTGTATTCTGATAACTTAATGAAAAGGACGTAATTAATCTACATACTGTAGGTCTCTGGCACATATATTATGAAATATTGACCTCACCACCACTTCACATTAACTTCTTTATTACTTTCATGACAAACAAGTTATCAATACATGTACAAATCGGTAATTCCTCCTTGAGACTTTGCAAGTGAAATAATCCAGGATCAGTTCCCTCTGTGTTTATTTGCAAGAAAGAAAGGAAATCTGTAAATACATTACACGTAACCAGGGATGTATAATACAGAAATACGTCCCTGACTTAACAGAAACTTTCTGAAAACATGATCAACACACAGAGCTTAATATACAACAGGAGGAAACAGAAGGTGTCATACTCCATCTAAAAATAATTGTTCTTGCTTATATGTTCACTAAAAATCATGTAGAGTTAAAATATATCTAGGACAATATATTTACATGCATACCTCAGTAAATATAAAATATACTTAATATTTACCATGTAGTTGCAGAGTCTAGGACTAAGGAGCAGCCAAGTTATTGTTCCCAGAATTGTAAGGAATTAAGAATTTTCTGTATATAAACAAGAGATTGGTATATTATGTAATCAGTTTGATCCATCAATTATGGAGATATCAGTAATTTAAATTGCTCACCACTATGTTTTTAGAGAAACATTCCTTTAAGCTACCTATATTTACAAAGGTTTTGTATGTAATGGCCTGATATTTAGCACTAATTGTTACAGATTAGCTGTCAAAACAGGTTCCCTCCACAACAATGTGGACAAAACATTACACTATGATTTAAGGATAAATGTACAAATGTAGTATGGTTTGTATGGTATGGTTTAACCACCATTTATTTGAACAGGCTGAAACAGACCTATATATAAATAATGATGTACAAAATAAGCCCATACAGACAGGTCTTCAGATAAAAATAATGAATAAATGCTTAAAAAACATATACATGTAGACTTACTGACATAAAATAGCTATTCTTTGCTTTTATAAAAAAAAGTAGTCAACTGGTCATTCACTTTCTGTATATGATGCCTTACATGTTGGCTGTAGTTCCAGACAAATACCAAAAAGTAAATAAAAAACAATATTTAATTTTGTAAACCAGGAAAACATTCACACCAGTTTAACTTATTCAACCTATTCATGTCAGATCAATTCAATATTTTTCTGTGCCTGACAAAATGTACTGTAGAAGAACAAAGATTTTATTGGTGAAGGGTAACTATTTCATGGTAACTTGGTAACAGTTTCCTAGGATACAGTTGTCATGACAAGCTCTGTGTTAAACACCTTGAACAAAATGTACACCACACCATGCTTTATCACATTGTAAATATCACAATACTTCCATGCTTGAGTGATGTTGAAACTAAAGGAATGAATTCCACTGAATATAAGTAATAATAAATAATTTACACTATTACCATCAATTAAGTGTAAGGAATACAACTCAATGTCAACTTACTTGACATCAACTTAAATATGTAACACATTTATCAATAAATTTTATTACTGAAATAAAATTTTGGTGCGACGAAACCAAATTGATTTCACTGTTCACCATCAATATTATTACTCCTATATATCTTACAGTTAAAAATACTAAATCATGGCTAAATTATATATACAATGTATGAGAAATTAAAGCCATAATGTTCAAGTGTGAATTTGGTATAAGATACTGTAAATACAAGTGGTATAGCTAATAGTGTAATTATCACATACATGTGTTGTAACACAGTTAACAACTTCATTCAACATGGCTATGTTGATCTATTGTTACAGTGACTGTGTACAGTCATTTTTCTCTTACCCTTCCTGAGGTGTACCTTTGCTTTACCTGTGCGAGATTTCCTTGTCTTACCCTAATTAGCTAGCTGTAGGGTTAAGATGGGGGGATTCCCCTTTCCTGACAATTGCATTATGTCAACACAGCCAAACACCGAGATGACAACAATGCATAAATACAAATACACTAAAACCAGCAGGATATGAGAAAAATAATCATTCGTCCCCTTGTGGATAACAATAGATTATGATAATAATTTCACCTGTTGGATTGAACCCTCCTCTTCTCCTCACCATCATGTATTCTCTAAGGGGGTGAAAATTCTAATATTCCATCATTAAGTAAAGCTTGCCCCTGGTGAAATTAGGGCATTTGGGTGTTTTTCTGGACTGGGACAAGTGTCTGAACTGTATGGAGGAACATTGGGGTATTTTTCTGGACTGGGACAAGTGTCTGAACTGTCTGGAGGGGCATCAGGGTATTTTTCTGGACTGGGACAGGTGTCTGAACTGTCTACCAAACAGTCACCTGTTATACCCTTGCTGGAATCCTGGTGACTTGATTGTTGGGTAAAGTTAGAAACAGGCTCATCTTCCATCTTATTTTCCTGTCTGCTTAATACTGATTCATCATGGTGATGGCCATTGTCAGGAGTCTGTTTCAAGATAAATGTGCTTGAATTGGTCTGATGACAAGTTGTATCTAAATCGTCCTTTTGTACATAGTCAGGATCAATGTCTGTGTCACTGCACTCGTCATCTGACTTGTCAGCACCTGGTGTATTGAGACTAGTATCCATGTCAGCACCTTGGACTTCGGAATCCATGTCTTCATCCATACCCTGATCTATATCTGGACTGGTGTCGTCGTCACTAAATTCGTTTATTATGTCCAGGTTTTGGTGATCTGGATTCAACATGCGACATGACTTTTTCATGTGTCTTTGAAGCGAGTTTCTCCTTGTAAATTTCATTTGGCAAAGTGAACATGTAAACAGCTGAATGTTGTCTGAATGTCGTGTTCTAACATGCTCTTTAAGCGATGCTTTATTACAAAATGCTCTGTGACAAAACTCACATATTATCTCTGAGAGAATCTTTCCTGTAGATCTCCTGTCATCCTTTTTACCATGTTTCTTACGCATATGTGATTTAAGAGTCATGGAAGTGGAGTAATTTCTGTCACAGAGGGAACACTGAAAGGTCTGCCCTAAGTGACTCTCCTTATGATTAAGCATTGCATCTCTCCTCAAGAATGTCCGTTCACATAGATCACAATTATAGATCATAGGTTTTTCATGTGTTCGTTTGATATGAGATTCTAGACTATCATTAGTCCTGAACACCTTATTACACAGTAGACAATTATAAAGGTTTGGTTCACACGTTGTCTCGCCGTTTTTCTCAAAGTGAGAACGTCGTACATGTCTTTTCCATTTGTAACGAGTATCAAAACTTTTGTCACATGTATCGCATGAGAAATTCTCTGTCTGAGTATGGCGCACAACATGTAACTCTAAGTGTTTCTTATTGAAATATTTCTTCTGACAAATTCCACATTCATAGGGTTTATCTTTAGTTTGTAGGTTACACAGATCTGTCCTTGTGTGTACATTTATATGGCGTTTAAGATGTGAGGTTGTCAAACAAACTTGTCCACAGTATGAACAAGAGATCCTAGTATCTGGATTATGACTCCTCATATGTTTGTTGAAGGTTTCCTTACTGGTGTAAATTTTTGGACATAGATCACAAACAAATCTAGTACGATTTTGTTTCTCCTCATGCCGTCTTGTCTTATGTGTCTTTAACAAGTAAGATGTAACAAAGGCATCATCACACAGGTCACATTTGTAAGGTTTGATCCCTAAATGGATACGAATGTGTCGTTTAAGACTAGAGTTCTCAGTAAATGACAAGGAACAAAGATTACATGAGTATGGTTTTTCTCCACTGTGTATTTTATAATGACTGTTTAAATGTGCCTGTTGCCGGAATGACTTGCCACAAACATAACAAGAATATGGTTTTTCTTTAGTGTGAATACGAGAATGGACACGTAACTCCTTAGGTGTTTTAAACATCTTGTGACAAACACTACAGCCATGAAATAGCTTGCCTTCTATGTATATCGGCTCGTCCACAACAACTACCCCAGACCTTGCCTCTTCAGCAGATTTTATCACCTTTTTAGGGAAAGCTTCCTGGAGTTTACCTTTGTTTTTACTTGGAATAGTCCCACTAGCATTCAAATTAGTCTCCTTGTTGTATGTCTTACTAACAGCAGCAGCAATAACATTGTCAAGTGTCTCAAAGTCAAATTTCTCCCTTTCAGGAGCTGGCTTGTTTTGAAAGAGATTCAATCGAAGTGAAAATGCTTTTGATGGTGAAAAGTTGGTGTTAGCATCTTGACCAGATCCAGGGGCTATATGATTTACTGCCTGATGTCCTGTGGAGGAATCAGAATCAACAGGTGATTCAGGTTCAGTTTTCACACTTACACTCAAAGCTGTATTACTATTATCATGGTTTACATGTTCATTATCAACAGAATGTCCTTCATAATCATCCACTAAGTCAGTGTTGTTGGTTTGTTGATTATCGTCTGAGTTAATGCTGTAGTTTTCAGTGTCGCTGGTGTTATCACCAGAATCATGGAGGTTTGATGTGCTTTTCCCATCAACTCCTGTGGCACTGCACTGTATATTATTAGGATACTTTCTGGCCTCCAGGGTATCTGGTACACACAATATATCACCTTCTGATGGCTTTTTACAAGTTTCTTTGGTATGAGAGGTGTTTATACTAGCTTCCACATCAGTTGTCTCATTTTGTTCTTTATTCAGACTAGTGTTACAGATTTGTCCTTCGTCCTCTGTGTCTGCGTCTTCCCCGGGGTCAATACTTCCATACACTGTGGTGGATACCCCATAGCCTGCATCTCCAACAGTCAAATACATTGCATATGACTCACTTCCTCCTGACTGATTGCCATCAGATCCATCTAATGACCCAGTAAAGCTGTTTTCAGATACTGTCATCGCCATAGCGTCACTTGGAGGGGAAGTGGTCATCTACTGAAATCCTTGTCACATATCTTCCAATGAATACCGGAAAATATCTGGTTTTCTGGCTGGTTCATGGCCAATCAAGCATTGTTGCTCTGGTAAAAAAAAAATGATACATTGTATTTTCATCCCATCAATTTCTACCTAATCACTGGATCTTCATTACAGCTAGAAGTTTCTATTTCATATATATATATACTTTAATGACCATGAGAGTCTGTATGAAATATAAGTTACTTGCAGTCTCCAACCTATTACCACTAAGTATCCATTCACTACTATATGCTTTTCACAGGTATTGGTGAGAATAAATGTTTGGTACTGAGCAAGAACTGGTCAGTGACCTGTATAAGCAAATCCCAGCTGAGTTAAATGCATTTATCCTGATGTGGAAGGGTTTGATTTAATTTCACTATCACTTAAATTTAATGTCAGCACATTTAGTGGGACTGGCCGGAGATTCACACCTAAGCTACATTCTGTAATAATCATTAGTAGCCTTGTAGAAGTTAAGGGTACCAATGGCCTAGTCTCAGCTGATGGGAATTTCCTTCCAGTCAAGTGATAGAATGGCTGGCTGGAGACTAAAGGCCAACAGTTGCTATCAAACCACTCTCTGGCAGATCATTTTTCTGCTCCTATTAATATTACATTTTGGTGTTAGTGACCAACCCCTGTTTCAAGTAGGAATCTGCTTGACAAGGCTACACTTGAGGGAATTTCCTTTAGTCTCACAGTAGAGTGTCAGGCTAGAGACCGAATGGTCGCTAGTTTAGACCCATTGACGGTAGATAAAAAAAATTATGTCCCTAAATTGATAATCTAATGTCAATATAACAAAGTTACATCAAAACTATATCAAAATAATCTGGTATCTGAATGTGATAATTTACGTTCCTGTTTTAATACTTATAAAAAAAAGAAAGGAGGAGACTGATCCGGAATCATCAGTCTCCTCCTTTCTGTCTGGTTCATATTTTAGAACGACCAAAATAATTTAAGAGGTATGCTTAACCGTCAAGATAAAATCTGAAGACAACAAATTGACGTTTACTTGATAAATTAATTACAGTGAGGCATTACTTATATCGTTGATCGTAAACATGAGTTTAAAGAAGTAATAGAATATTTGTGATCTTAAGACAAAACTTACAGGTCGCCTGCTGGGCGGTGTCGACTCAGGACCATCACGAACCAAGACTTCATTTCAAAGACGAAGAACATATCTCGTGTAGCATGTGACTGGTCAGTAATGCAAACACTAAAAGACAAATAATGTAGGCCACCAGATCCCGAAAACTTCACTGATAGCAAATCAGTGGTTGTTCTTCATAGGATCAACTCCATTCACAATAAAAGAGGGGAGATAACTCTAGTCAAAAGTAGCTAGTAAATGTAAAACCGGTGCCGGGAAAGGATTCACAGGTCTATAATTTCATTAAACATCTTTTTCAATAACTTTTAGTCTGTTGAATAAGTCGAAAAAGAAATAAGCCATAAAAATTTTGTTTGTCTTCATTTTCTCGTATGTGTCTGAAATCCTCCTGATAAATCCCATGACAGCTGTTCATGTACCTTATAGGGATGACGTAAAAATTAATAAGCTAAATTAGTTAAATTGCTAACTGTTCTTAATTTGTTTGATTTGATACTATAAGATTTTCACTGAACTGTTAGGGAAATATTATTAAGCTAATCGTTGTTTTCGCACAATAAACTTTAAAATATAAAAAGCAAAAAAAAAAAAAAAAAATTAAAGAAAGAAATAATATAAGATGGTGCCCACCATCATATGATCTTTGTCATACATAATTAGGATTTTTTTTCTCTTCTTTTCTCTCCTTCCCCTTTAATTACTGTTTACTCTATATATGATTTAGTTTATCGACAGGCGAATTTCATACAAATGCATTTATATATACGTGTATAACACATGAAGAAGTCAACATATCCTACTTTTTTAAATGTACTTCAAACACAAAATCGATAGTATCGTACTTGTACACAATATACTAATAAAACAAAGTAAACAAAGAAAAAGGCAAATTATGCTAAAAAATGTTATCATCCGATGTAAAGTATCGTTAACTTTAACTCCTACCCAGAGAGAAATGTGAGCCCAGAGGTCGTATATATTTAAAGACGAAAAAATTGTTATATAGCAATCTGCAGATGTCCAAGTCAAAACTAGCCTCCTATTATCAATCTTGTTTTTTTTAAATAAATGTCACAAAATAAAACTGAATATGGAAAATGAAAGATCCGTGGAAAGCCACATGACAAGCACTTGAAAAATAGTGATAACACACTTTTAACCGTCAAAATTCAAGATGGCATAGTACTCATATAATGCGTTTTATTCCTACCGCTTCAAGGCAATATCTTTAGAATTGGTGGTTACTAAATCAAAGTATCAAAAGGATCAAACAAAAATGGACGCTGGCGGCTGTGACTTGAAAATCAGATGATGCTGGAAATATGGCACGCTCAACCACAATCGAGGCTGGCTACGTTCAGTCATGCTGTACATCCGAGCTCTTCAAAATAGAACATGTTTATGATGTTTCAATGAGATCTTGTTACTAGTTCTTCAGAAATAGTGGTAAGAACCTTTTAATGTCGAAATTCAAATGGACGCTCTATGTTGTCTTGAATATTTGATGAACTTCAAAATGTGTTATGCATATTACAAAGTTTAAAGAAGATTCATTCTGGATATTCAAAAATAACGGTACAAATTTTGTATGTTAATTTCAAAATGGCCACTGGCAGCCATCTTGAATATATGATCAAGCTCCAAATACATGTATGACATGCACACATATGATTCCGACTGAACATGTTGACGATGTTTTAAGGAAACCACATTCCTCTGATGTAACGGTAACACACTTTAAATGACAATGTAAGTACGCTTCTGTTGGCCATCTTGAAAATACACAGAAGTTCGAAATATGGCATGCATAACTCTATCAACCAAAGACAGTATGTTCACGAATTTTGAAAGAAATTCATTGAGCGCTTGTATAGAGCGGACAGACGGACGGACCATCGACGCAAAGTCGAATCAACAGGCCATCATCTTCTGATGGGGAAAATGAGAGAAAGTGAGGTTTTGTTTTTTCGTCAAGCTCATGTTGTAGACACAAATGAAAAAAACATTTATCTGATGTCACAATTTTATGAACAAATTTGGATAACCATGTTTTTGTTTTGTTTTATTAGTTTTTTTTTTCTTTCCAGCTATACCGTCTCGTTATCAGTCGTGGCGTCATTCAGTAGCTTCATGACTTACAATGTACGTTTGATCGAATACTCTACCAGTATCAGACAACTTGAAGCTCCATGGCCACCTACATTGTAAGACAAAGAGAGGACAAGAATTAGATTGTAATATGAGGTAGTTTTACGGAAACACTTCGTATGTTACATCATGTAATCCTAAACCAATTAGGTTAATATCCGAGTCATGTGAAATTAAGTAGACTAGATGGAAGAACACATATTCAGCAACTGTCAACATTGATTTCATAGTTGTAGATCAAGTACCACACACTGACTGGAGGCCTTGGGAGACAAAGCATTACGGTAGTTCTTCACAGAGAATTCTGCATTATACAGAACCCAGAACAGTAACATCGATCATCATCTACCGGAAAAAACAGCACCTGATCTGTGTCGCACAGAGAAGTGGTTAATGAAGTTTTAAACTGACAAATTTGACAGGTGTAAACACCCGAGCAGAGAGAAAAACAACCGGATCCAACAAGAAATGACACTCCCACAAAAAATTGTCACCAAACTTCAGAACAAGTTACATCCGAAAAAGATCCAGGTGTTATCTTTAACATTTAAAACTCAATAAATACGCTTCAAAAAGTGCCCCGAAGTCGAACAGGAACCTTGGCGGAATAATCAGGACCTTCACATACTGGGGCGATTAAGATGATTTGGTCTGCTTTCTCTTTAATACTGTAGGGTAAGGACTTTACATATTTACAAAACACCGGAGGATATTGATTGTCTAAACTACGAAAACATGATTTTCAGAGGTATCCAACAAGTACATGTGGACACCGCAAAATAAATCCTTACCAAAACAAAAATACCCGGTAACAGCTAAAACAGAATTGTGGACTAGTGGAGTCTGATGTGGTCAACTTTGGTAATGTTTTGTTGTTTTTTTCAAAACCCGACTGAACAAGCATTGGGTTAACTATCCGCCCTACTGTTCCCCTATTTCTCCCGAGCGCTATGATTCAGATTAAGTCAGATCCACAATGCTATAGCTCCACTTTTCACTTGTATCCAACGTACTTCTAATGTTATGTACGTGTATTTTTACCAGCACACAGTCGTGTTCCTACTGATATTGTTTATTCCATAAGTAATAACAGAAGTAATAAACTACAGAATCATATTTCCTATATTCTGTTTCCTTGTGTGATATGAAGCTGGACGTGCTTGGTGCTCACTTGTTTGCTCGGTGGTTCCGTTGTTGTTTACCTTGTTCTCACTAGGTGAACGTGACATTACTAACTTAGACTGACCAAGGTTTACATGTCATTTGTTGTCGATGAAACAGAAGACGCTTGCTATTTCGGAACATCTGGTCTTATTTTCATTGCACTTTCTCCGAGAAAGTAAACTTTTGTTAATATTTTGTTCAGAAGTTTTACTGAAGATTAGTTTGATTTATGATTATGTTCACAAGTTGGTATTTTCTTGTTGTTTTTGACCGATAGCAAGAACTTCTACCAGGTATAGGATCTATCCATGGCGGCAAATTGATCCCATGTCATGACCGATTTTGACCAGCAGTAACGTTTTCCAACAAACTGTTGACCTGCCCGTGGCGACAAACTTTGTCTCCCCTTTGACAAACTATTTTGTTTTCACATTAGACTATCTTTTAATAGATTGTCTGGACACGCAAGACTTCCATTTCCAGGTTTATCAGATATATTATCCTTGAATGATAAACCTATTCACCTTGTTGGTCTGATGTATATATAGGCACTCGACCATAACGTAATGTAACATTTGTAATGAAGTATTTGCCTAAATACTTACTTGTGAAGCTGGACGTGTTTGACGGTCGTTAGTTGGCTTGTTGATTATGTTGTCGTATACTTTGTTCTCATTTGAGAACGTGACATTACTTCATTGGATTGACAAAGAAGCAGAAGACGCTTACTCTTCCGTAGCACTTAGTCTTATTCTCCTTGTACCTTTTCAGAAGTCTTCGCGAAAATCTTCCATTTGTTCATATTTTGCCCTAGTTTTATTGAATTTGAGTTTGGATTATAATTATGTTGACATGTTGATATAAACTTGTTTTTTCTTTACACATCATGAGAAACCTCTCAGCAACATTTTGTGAAGATTGCTGCAGCTATCTCCGTCACCGTTGTTGACGTGCCGCAGCGTGTCGATGTTTGATTTAGAAATTCAATATTTGTCGCTACCACGGTTCTCCCGTAAAGAAAGCAACACACGGATTTTACTTAGTTTTTACACTGCGGTTGTCGTCCATGAAGCGAAGACGTTAACTTCTCAAATAAAAACACCGGACTTTATGATCATAATACCTTAATTCTAGTCTCCAGGGAAAATGTTCCCTTGATATCGCTGTGCCATATACTAAATCAAAACAAGGCGAGAAATGTTAAACGAATTTATTGACATAAAAACTGAAGTTCAGCAGTTAATACAAATGATAAATAAATCTTTATCTAAAATTATACATATATAAATATAACTTCACTAAAATAAATACAATCTGTACAAAAACAAAGATATCTCTATAAACATATCACAGAGGCTTTTTCTAGGGGTAAACCGGACAAATCCCATTTACAACATCTGGTATTCATGATTTTAGACCACTAACACTATACACTGTTATTGTTCTTTTTCATATGTAATCCTTTAGACCTTTGTCTATTGTTTACTATCATATAACAGCTCTATAATGATTAAAACGTAGTAAAATCTGTTCTTATCCAATCCAAGCATAACGTAAGTATGACAAAGTATTTTTTTTTCACTCTGTTAGGAACCATAAATATATAATACTGACAGAAAACTTAACAACAGACAGTATAAAAAACAATGACCAATTCTAGGCAGGAAGGGGAGTTCTGATTCTGATCAAGTCAAAGTTTACAAAACAATTTTTCAACACATACAACCCAGAACTCTCTCATACCAAGGCAAAGGTATATCCCACCAGTATATAGTAGTGTAAAACATCAGACAAATTAACTTAGAAGATTCGATGGAAATTACTGAAACGCATGTCTTGCCATATTCGTTAGAAGGTATCTTTAAAAACAAATTCAGATTTGGTAAAGGATGGGAGTTTTTAGCTTTGTTCTGTATTTTTGAATGATTCTTGTAGCAGCTTTTATTAAAGACCTGTGGTAAAAGTTTCTCACCAATAACTACATAATTAACAAAAACAAAAATATTATTTTTGTAAAACCTATCATTTGTGAAAACACTGGCATCAGTTAAGGAGAACTTCAGAACCATAAGACCAAGAGTCATTCAAAATGTAACTCAAATGCATAGCATAAGGACAAAATCTACAAAACAGTAGTAGAATAGCACAACAAATTGTCATTTCAAAATATGAATACTTCAAAACAGTATACATGATTGTAAAACAGATCGTCTTGATCATAAAATGAACGCTAACAGAGAAGTGAAAATGATAGAGACATGCCGGGTATGAAGTATAAAAAACAAAACAGATTGATACAATTAATACAAAAAGAACAATTCATTTTAATGCACTGTTGAAAAAAAAACAACATGAAAAAATTTGCACATTTATTGAAATGATATTTGGCACAACTTGATATAAGAATGTGTACATTTAAATCTTCGTCTGACAAACAGCAAATCCTTCATGTCTTTCTACACACAGACACAAGCAATGCTTCACCTACTTATCATTAACCCATGGTACCCAATGTTTGAGCAATTTTTTTTTTTTTTTTTGTAATTTCTTACTTTTTGTGATATTCTTAATCTATAAAAGCAAACATTTTATAATTTCCTTTAATAAACTGCTACAAATGTTAAATATATACAAGCATACAGGATGAGAAAAAAAACTGCTTGAAGTGACCATCCGTTTGGGAAAATTATGCCCAAGCTCATAGCAAAAAATACTACTGAAGGTGTAGTATTTTAACCAAAGCAGATGGTTCTCCTCAATATTTTTTTACTAAAAATATGCTTACAAATAAAATGTTTTAAAATGTAAGTAATAAATGTTGATAAAGTATATATATAAAACTAATAGCTGAAATCTAATACATAAGGTATTAATTTGTCAAAATATCTACGTATATATCTACAACAGTACGTGTACCGATTTTGAGGCATTTGTTTGCAATAAATTCTTTTTTCATTGCTATTCATACTTTCTTTTCAAATCTTTTTTCTTTAAGTATGAAATGTACCCAGTTTCATATTTTTTTTTGCAAAGTAATTTAAATGAAAGTATTATATCAACTTTTATGGCGGCAATGAGAATGGGTGATTTTAGTGCGTTGGTGGAGACGGATTAGTTATTAGTTACTGATATCAAAATTCAACAGGTAATATAATACACCTTGCTCTTAAATGAATACAAAAGTACTGGCTAAGTGTATGATTGTTGACTACCTGGATGTATTATAGACCCCATGAGATACTATAGAGAGTGGGTTATGTAACTGAGTGGTGTCCAAAAACACAGCAGACATGTGATTGGCACTAGAGGATATTTCGTGACACTGAGCGACTTTACGACCAATATAACGTCGGACAATTTTGGGAAGCGGATTTGAAATAGAGTTCATTGGTGACACCGGCCTCTGAATTCCTCCATCAGAAAATTTGAGGAGAATTTTGTTGTTTGTCTTTGCAGCGGTTGCAACTATGGCCAAGCTTGTAGAGGAACTACCACTCTTTGCATTCACTGTATTCGAGCAAGCACTCGGGGGCCTAGGCGATCCGTAGCTACTACGTGGGCGAGGGAAGAAGCCTCGAGCGCTACGGGAACGCTCACACCCTGGCGGGATACACACACTATCTTGGCGACATTTACAATGTGGCTTGTTGAAATCAAGATGGAGATTATTGCCGCTCCCACACTCGGTACAAGTTCGAGCCCAGGCACCATCAATTAAAGGACTTACACCTGTTAACAAAAGAGGACGAAGATCCAGTATTAGTAACAAAGATGAGTTTAAAATGAACACACATGCAAGTCTGGTAGTAAATGGTGTTAATATGGCAATATTAGCTCAGTAAAAACCAAACACATAGCAAACCTTAGTTTCACAATCTTCATTACATGTATCTCTGCTAGATTGTCACATTTTATCTTACTTGAATTAAAAAGTTTGTGTTAAATTAAAGTTTAATCAAATGATATTTATACCCAATTATCAGAAATCATATATCCATATAAATTTATTATTACTTGTTTTATAGCACATTAATTTCTGTGTCATTGGAGTGGTTTGACTGCCTGTGGATGTTTCATGTCCAGACTAAATCACATCTGATGATGATTGTGATACCTGTTGATGCCTCCATTAACAATCGGGAATGTCATAAACATTTGCACTAGCGCCAATAAATGTGTAACAAGGATTTATAGTTATTAAAATGTGATTAGAATTACATTAATTTGAATGATTATTCGTAAAATGTTAATTGAGCAAATTTAAAAAAAAGAAACTGATCACCCAATATCCAAAATATAAATCAATGCTTGATACATGAAATTTATTCACTAATACATTGCCAATTTTAATCCTAGTTGTGTTACAATGATAACTATACATGGTGCCAGTAAAACAAAGGCTTTGATCGTAATTAAGATAAATATGGTGAATATTAACAATGCATTATCATTTCAACACAGTTACAGACACAACATCAGTAATGTGAAGTGGTAAACCAAAAGTCAGTGGGTAAGTGAAGCCTATTGTGAATTGGTAGAGAAGCCCATGATCAGTATAGGATGATCCACAGATGCAGTTCAGTACATAATAAATTACATGATTCAACTATTTCACTTTTCACAGTAACAACTACTATTTAGTGGTACTTCAAAGTAGATTTAACTTATATTTTCTTTAAATGTATGTAGATTTTTTTATCCATAATCACATGCATAGGTTCTTCATATCAACAATAATTAACATTTTGTAATGTTCAGAACATGGAAATGTAAGCAATATAAGCAGTTCTATTGATATAACCTGGCTGCTACAGCTATGTGTGACTATATACAGTGTACTTAACAATGTTATCACTACCACAGCTCTTTTAGTTCTATCTACAGGGTTAGTGCATTCAGTACTACGTTTTGGTTAGTTCTACCACAGTAACTGGATCTGTTTTCTGAGAGGGCGTGGTGGTAAGTCCCTTAATGCCAGATCTATCCCTGTAGCATGATGGGTAATATATTTCACCTTCCAGGCATAATTTGTAATAGAACAGATAAAAATGTAAAAAAAAAAAAAATGATAGGCCAAAATGGTGATGACTGAATAACAGAAATGTACTGAGGGGACACTCCACCTACACAGAACTATTGGTGTCAATGACAGCTTAAAACTTCCAAAATATTTTATCATCCAAAGTATACGATTTATTTCAGGTACATATATATGAAAGAAGCCTGTTTTACCTTAAAACATTGGAGTTAAGGAGGTATACATATGTACTTCATCATAACAAGAACAGATGAAGTACGTATGTAAAGTCAAATACAAACACAATTCTTTCTAATGATACAAATAATCTGAGGCTATGTAAAAGTTATTTCAGTAAGAAAGACACCTGACATATCGTTTATGAATAATATGGAATTTATCACATTTTTTCATAATCTTGTTGTGAAATAATCCATTTCCTGGTGTGATATTAAGTCGGACGTGTTGATGTTCGTTTGTTTGCCTGGTGTGATATTAAGTCGGACGTGTTGATGTTCGTTTGTTTGCCTGGTGGTTCCATTGCTTGCCTTGTTCTTTTATTGGAAAGTGACATTACTTGCTTGGATGACAAGTTCTACATGGAGAGTGTCGTCGATGAAGCCGAAGACACTTTCCCTTCTCTAACACCTGGTCTTATTTGCATTTTCCTCTGTATATCATTCTTTTGTTAATATTTAGCCCTAATTTTGTTTATTTTGAATTCAGATTCTGTTGACATGTTGGTACCTTTTTTTTTTGTTTTCTTGTCTACTTTCTGTAATGGGTACATGCAGATCAAGTATCAAGATCGACCATGTCACCAATCCAGTACTGGATGTTTTTCTACCTAATTAAAAAAACGTTCTCAAAAGCAATTTATGTAAAACAGTAGCTGGAAATGGAGTGGATCTTTAGCAAATATAGTGAAGCATGCAGGATTTGTGGATATGTCACAACAGCAGTCCATGAAGCAGATGTGTGGAATTTCAGGAAAAGCATTAAACATCTAGTTTATAAAAATATTCAAATGAAAGAAACAAATATTTTAAGCGCCTCAAAGAAAGAAAAAAAACAAACATGAATGTTAATACTCTCTATGATAGCTTGAAAATAGATCATCAAAAACTTGCAGCTTAATTGTCTCTAACATCTCAAAATACAATCTAGTTCAGTCCAGTGGAATCCTAAATATTCGTTAACCTAATTGTACCACCATTTATATATATACCCATTTGTTTGATAAATCTATGAGGTATTTTCACTTGAAATGACATCACTTCTGAGAGAAATCAGGTACTTTCCTTGTAAGATTCCTAACCAGTGTTGAGTGATATGGAACTCACAGACCCAATAGAGAAAAGAAAGAGCCACATGTCAAATTTTATAAAATTATACATCACTGTGACTAGACCATTATTAACCCAGAAAAAATATCTTTTTATATTAAATTGGCTTTCTAAGGAACTCCCGGGTATCTACAATCCAGCTAGCCGAACAATTACTTGTGGAGACAAATGAAATCAGTTCTTCAATACTTTATGAACAACATTATCATGAAACTCGCCATGTCTTCAATACCTGAAATACAACATAACCATGAATCTTTGCCATAGTATTCCAACAACAAATAGATACGTACATTCAACAAAATAAGTCAAATTCAGGGATATTAACTGTGATTGGAAAAACAAAAATTGACTTCTAATGTGGCACTTACAAGCAGCTTTTAAAATTGAGAGAAAAAAACAAGTATAAACAAGAAATGCACTCAAGTAGTAGTGAATAATAGAAATTAAAAAAATAACTGATTCATTTAAATTGCAACTAAAAATCACTCAATTTCTAGGATCTCATCTCTCTCTGATAATGACGTATTTTGATTTAACTGATGGGAAATCTTTACAAAATAACAGTTATAGGTCAGTTCCCATTGGTTAAATCCAAAACCTAGTCATAGTTCAGGATTTGAGGTCTTAGTGTCAAGAAATTAACAAAATAATAACTATTAGAAAATTAATGCAAAATAATCTAGGGAAGAAAAGTTTGTAAATCGTTAGATTTAGAAAAAATCCAAACTTGAGATTCAGCGTGCAGACACATGTACCTTAGGATCTAGTTGTTTTCTACTTAAACTTAATCAGTGGAAACTTTAGGCGCATGTACCCCAAGTAGTCTGAAAGTTTAAATACAGGAAGGTTAGGATTGCTGTTAATGCATATTAAATGCATTAAAGTTATGTAAATTACATGATATTATACAAAATGAAGAAGTGGTATACATCATTAGAACTATTGCAAGCAATTAATTTAGGAATGGACATGAAAGTAAATGAAAAAGATCCCCAACAGAAATGACTTGCAATGGCACAAATGCCACTGAATGCAAACATGGCTGAAAAATCAAAATATATAACATGTTAAGCAATATGATGTAGAGGTCATACCTGTGTAAAATACTTGGTATCAATGAAAACAGAGCATTTGAACCCACGTCTATTTACATCATCAGATATGGACAATGACAACATGACAAAAATCTGTTTCTTGAACTTCATCTCATTTCAATTAGTTTTCCATAAGCCATGTACAGATTACAAGAAAATAGAACATATGCCCTAACCTCTGATTGCCAGCAGAGGGAGCTGTTTACTTCAACAGAGCTATGCATGTAGGACCACCACCAGGAGGAGCTATATTACTAAGTTATACATTGTACTATAATCAACATTAGGGAAAGCAATGACTAGGTCATGTTATCACCAAATAAGGAAGTCAAAACATGCATGTATGTCGGACCACCACCAGGGAAAGCATGACTTGGCCAAGCTACCACCTAACATGGAATCAAAAGATATGTAAGACCACCACAAGAGGGTGAAAAGACAAAGATCACTGAACAAGGGAACTAAACACATACATGTATTTACCATGGTATGTAGGACTACCACCTTAGGAAGCTACAAATGTAGAATACATAAGGAACTATTTACAATAAAAAACCAATTCTAACCACCACCAGGGATGCTACACATATAGGATTGTTATCAAGGTGTGCAACATGACAGCATGCAGGTTAATCACTGATGGGAGCTTGGGACTACAACCTGGGGATGTATTTTGCTGAGTTAGTTTTGCTGGGCAGATGGGTATGACGAAGCACCAGGAGGGACAACATGAAATATGAGTAATGACTACAATGACAGGCTGTTACAGACTACGTCACAACAGCCCATTTCACTTGTAAACTCTCTTATTTAACAATGTTTCTTATTAAAATCTTCTTTAAAAGAATTAGAATTTCTTTACAACTTTGCTTTGAGAGGTACATGTGAGTTGGTTGTGTGTTGTATGTCCTGGCGAGTTGGCATAGACATGATAAGCCCCAGTAATGGCATGCAAATATACTGAATGCACCCTCACCAATACCACGTGCCAAAGCCTCTCTATGTGAAAATCTCATTATATGTCAAGCAATATGGAATAAATCGTGAACTTGAGCTTGCATATGCTCGTCCATGACATGAACCTTGATTGCAGGAAGGTTGTGAACCTTCACATAAGGGGAGGCTTTGGTCAACTGTAGTTTGACCGGACGCTGCGATGTATTCAAACTATGTGTGCGGTCTCCATCTTTTCGTTTCTTACGACGTCTTTTCCCTTAAAATAAATAGACAGTCACTTTATGTTTGGCCTTTATATATCAATTTTGAAAATATACAATAAAATAACAGAGCAAGGATACCAAAATGTAAACAAAATGACCCATACTTCCCAAGCTGGGATCACATTACATGTATCTATAAACCGACTAAAGCCATCACGATCATTTACAGGTCACATGAGGAAACACCTGCTGCTGGAGAAATGAGAACAATTGTACATGATGTTGATGATGGTGACGATGATTGATCAGATACTGGTATATGGTAAGTACAATCCTGAAAACATTGGAAAATAGAATAGTTTTCTGTAAGGCAAGAAATGACGTCCAATGAAATTTGGACAAGCACATTTGTGGAAAATGGTCAAAGTGATTACCAGACAAAGTAAAAATCAATGTACAATCGATAGCTGAGAATGATTCCTTAACTTATGATACAGTCCTAGGATGATGATAAGTTAGACACCATGTACGACAGGATTTTATACCCATCGCAAATACATAAGTAGGTACCAAATACATGTTTGGGTTATTCACAACACACAGGGGCACACACAACTAACATATAGGTGAGCATCAAACACAAACCATGGAATCAGACAGATGTCTAGACACCATCAACGAATACATGGATTGAATAAATTTAGGCACCAGATACATTGGGCACAGCCAGACACCAGACACACAGTGACTCCAAAGACAAATCACATGGAGGGCTGACACAGCTGCCACATGTAAGCACTATAACCTAGGACACGGCTAGGCACCAGACACACAGTGACTCCAAAGACATATTACATGAAGGCTGACACAGCTGCCACATGTAACTAGATACAAAAGACACAAATGGTACTAGACACATCAAACATCAGACATTGTTGACACAGGAAGACACAAAGACAGTACACAAAAGTGTGCGACAAATACAACTGACATTGGTAGGCAACCAGTTAAATGTCAGTGAAAACTTATTTGCCAATGTCTCATGAAACACCTGCCTTTTTTGTATTTTCCTGAAGTGTGGGAAAATAGAAAATATCAATTAAAAACAGCTACCACAGGTAGTGGTGTATGATAACCAAAACATCCATGTAAATGCATATAGGACAAGTGTACATCAGACACATGTAGACACATGTAGACACGTGTGACGGTATCAAACATTAACACAGGTAGGTACCAAACAGACATCACACACAGCTGAAACATGTAGACACCTAACTCAGGTAATCTGAGACAGATTATAATGAGGTTTATGTTGATGTCACCATGAATGATGTCATTGAATCGTTGGAGAAGACAGTTAGGTCTATGTATAGATCGGGAAACAGCTTCATGATACATGCATATGTAATAGCATGGGATATAGTTTTAATAATACTAGCTACCTAAGTTAATAGATGGTACTGAAGAGGTTGGGTGTGAGAATGGTTGTAGGAACACCCAATTCACCATTGCTGTTAATACTTCAACTACCTTACTATATCTACAGGGTCCTGAGATAAACTAGCAAAGGGTGCCATGATTAAAATTTTAAAATCTACTCGGGTTGTATTATATTTCAAGGTGCATGTAACCAATGATATAATACATTACTGTAAAAACTAAAGCCGTTTTTTGAGATACAATAATTTTGCTGCAAACATGTCTACAATAGAAAAGGTTTTTTGACACCGTTTGTTAGGCATTAAATACATAAGTACCAGTTGCAGTACATCTAGTTTGGCTGTCAGTATACAAATCGTAGCCCCTACTACAGGTAAGTAATCACTTGAATCTGCCTTAAGTAACTGCTACAATGTACTAATTAAATGCATTCATGCTTGCGTTAGTGATTTCTTATAATATCAGTTTCTTAACTGCAAAATACCATTTGAATTTGTCTTTGCTAATATTTGGTTTGTTGATATGCCTACAAAATGCTTCAGCATGGTGTTGAAGGGTATAGCTATCTTTCAAATTTTTTATATCTTTAATCTAATTTCCATAGCTAGAAAATTAAACTACCTACACATGATATATCAAAATTACGAGAAAATGCCCAAGTAATAGAATATGTCAATAATTGTGCCCTATTGAAAGAGTTCATTGTGATAACTGTCATTGATGTGATCAATTCGCTAGAAAATGATGTACATGTATAGTTTTCTGTATGTGTAAATATTGTCTGTAAATGTACACATACATTCTACTTAAATTCCTACAGTATTTGTTCTATGGTGAAATTACAATTATATAAATTACAAACAATTGAGGTGATGAAGCATAAATAAACCCAGAGACAATTACCCATTTATTATACCCTTGATTTTAAAATTGTAAATGCAACCAAACAATGTCCCATAACTGATGAGTTTTCACTGATAAAGCCTTATTTGTGATATATTTTCAAAGTTTCTGTTGTACTGAATGAACAACCAACTGCTAAAGTCCTATTGTGATAACTCTATACATTTAGCTATACTAAGCTCATGTATGAGTTGGCTGTGCAGACAACCAATCAGATAGGATATATATATCTGACAATGTTATTTTGACAATAAAAGCAGTGCTTTTTGTATCCCACAACATGGTTAAATTTTTATGAATGAAATAGTGTCACTAGAAGGTAGGGAAATCACAGTCCAGAAATAATGTGTCAGAAACAGCTAGCTGTATGAGACATTTATGTGCTGTAAATTGTGTTATGTATGTGTTGTTTATATTGTAATGTCTGTGTTGTTTTACAGTGTAATCTATGTGTTGTTTATAGTTTAATGTATGTGTTGTTTATAGTTTAATGTATGTGTTGTTTATAGTGTAGTGTATGTGTTGTTTATAGTGTATGTGTTGTTTATGTATGTGTTGTTTATAGTGTAGTGTATGTGTTGTTTATAGTGTATGTGTTGTATGTGTTGTTTTATAGTTTATAGTTTAATGTATGTGTTGTATGTGTTTATAGCGTAGTGTAGTTGTTTATAATGTATGTGTTGTTTATAGTTTAATGTATGTGTTGTTTATAGTGTACTGTATGTGTTGTTTACAGTGTAATGTATGTGTTGTTTATAGTTTAATGTATGTGTTGTTTATAGTGTAATGTATGTGTTGTTTATAGTGTAGTGTATGTGTTGTTTATAGTTTAATGTATGTGTTGTTTATAGTGTAGTGTATGTGTTGTTTATAGTGTAGTGTATGTGTTGTTTATAGTTTAATGTATGTGTTGTTTATAGTGTACTGTATGTGTTGTTTACAGTGTAATGTATGTGTTGTTTACAGTGTAATGTATGTGTGTTTAAAGTGTTATGTATGTGTTGTTTACAGTGTAGTGTGTGTGTTGTTTATAGTGTAGTGTATGTGTTGTTTACAGTGTAATGTATGTGTTGTTTACAGTGTAATGTAAGTGTTGTTTATAATGTAGTGTATGTGTTGTTTATAGTGTAATTTATGTATATGCTGTGAAGTGGAAGAATACTGTCAGCTATAGATATGTTAATAGTGAAAATCAAATTTAAAAACCAAGCCTTTGCTCTTAATATATATGTTCTTGTACACACCTTCAGAATATGTCATGACTAAATCAAAGACTTGCTGTCATCCTTTTGTCTGGCTCCAGACATAAAATACTGACCAATCACAAACTTATTTTTTTCCATATTTATCTAGCAATAAGCCCATGTCTGTTAAAAAAAAAAATAATCCGGTAACTTTGAGCAATAAGGGTGGGCATATTACAGGATAACGATGGAGAAAACATATTCCAACATACTACAGTTAATTTTACATGTCCCCCAGTTTGTAAAGAGCTGTCAGTTATGTCATGACGATTTCCAAGGTTGAAGAGAAGATAATTCTATCAAGACCTTTGATTTTAAACATCAGGTAGAATTTATGTCAGCCATGTTGGTATATTTCTGTATGTGTCACTGACAATAACATACATAATAAGTAGCTGGAGAACATACACAGCTATTGGAGAGAATTAATCTGGACCTATAGTAAGCTGAAGTCAGGAAGTTGGAAGTAGTAAGTTTCACAGCCAAATGGATGGTGTCTGATCTAAAGAATATTTCACATAAAAGTACGAAAACAATGCTATAGTGACCTACATCAAACAATAATACAGAATATGTGTGTGACCCAGTGTGCATCTAACGTGTCACCACCGCCAACTCTGGCTGGAACATATCATCATCCTCTTTGTCTAGGTTGAAGTATTTCAGCTTTGGTGTGATATTTTCATTGAAACTAACATTGATACTAGCATAGGGTACTTTAGGAAACTTTATCCTGACCTCAGGCCGCCTGGCATAATCACGTTGCTTGCGAATGTGATGTCCAATTGGCCGAGAGTGCACATGCCCTCGTTTTTGAATCCTGGGAGCTCTGTTCGCTGGAAAACCAGCCAACCTGTACATGGTTTGTAATTCTTTATTACCTTTTGTGTTAGAAGAGTTGGAGGCTGATGGTTTGATAGTCTGTAGATCTGTAGATTCTACATTGTTCACTGCCAGTGTAGGTCGATCCAACTTGTCAGCAGGAATACTGTAGTTACTTGACACAGAAGTCTTTGACACAATTTTTTTGCCTGGCATGCTTGTGATGTAATTACTGCCCATGGTCGATGGTAGAGAAGATGACTTTTCTGGTCGAGGAAAAGATGAAGCCTGCAGTGGGTGATTGTTCTCCTTATTAAACACAGACACATCCCGCGTGACATCCCTGTCTCCTCCCCGGTCTGAGTCCGAGTGATTGCTGGAGTTACTACTGGACAGTATAACATGGCTGTTGCCTGTTGTTGGTGACTTTCTGATATTAGCGGATACAGTGTTTTTAGTATTACTGTTCATATTGTTCTTGCGCTGATTACGTGCAGCGTGATAATAGACAGAAGAGGCCTCCTGATTGGATGATTTGGTTGCCTTGGCTGGTGCCGAGTTAACAGTTGTGGTTTTGTGGGTGACACTGTCATTGTTCTCACTCCGCGGCCGACGAGTCACACCTGTACAGGTAAAACTCTTATTATTTGAGTCCTTGTTGTTGTCCTGGTTACCCTGATTTTTCCGAGGGGAAAAGTAATGTTGTCCATCACCGTTTTCTGCTGGTCGTTTCACAAATCCAACAGGCTTACGGACACCAGTGCCTTCCGCACACAAACTGATCCCTATGTAGGGTGGAACAGTTACCACTGGCTGTCTGTAGGCTAATTCAAACCGACCTACATCACAATTTCTGTCGTATTTGCGGTCTATCACCACTGGAACACATGAAACTCAACATTTATATCTCAGAACTGTAATAATGTACCAAACAACATTTGATTTCACTAAATAACGATGGGATTTTAAAACAGAGATTGAATTTATTAAAGCAAGAGGCTCCAAAAATTAAAAAGATATTTAAGAAAATCAAAACACATTATCAGCATTAAAGCAAGAGGCTCCAAAAATTAAAAAGATATTTAAGAAAATCAAAACACATTATCAGCAAGTACCATATTTTTCTTGACGTATTGAGGTGTTTAATATGTAGCTTATATTGCCTTTGAGAACTAGGAGTAATACACAACATGTCTAACCTTTGAGGGTGTCCTCTAGAACATTATTACACAGCCGAGAGGTGACCGCCGTGCTATTCTCCATACTGGGACTAGAATTGATCTCTATCAACCACGGACGGTAATCATCCGTCAACATAAAGTCAGCACCATATAGCTCAAACGAAGACTGAAAATAGAAACGTTAACACGAGTCAAATTAACATATATATATATATATGTATATATATATATGTCTGTTATTCTAAATGTTCCTGAGAAAAACACCTATGAAGGTACCAATTCTGGTTTTCTTGTTACAGTTCTGTAAATGTTTGTCTTACCTTTCTATATTCAATCAGATCCTGTGTACATAACAGTGAACAGATGATGGCCTTCTTCATCGCAGGATAAATTAGTTCATCAAACAGATTCCCCTTGTTCTTTGTCCTGCAAATCATTATCATACTTCATGTCATGATTACGTTTGGAGGCAGGTTTTACAGACAAGTCACGTTTAAGTATAAACAAATTTAGTACAGTATTACATATATGTTATATCTGTTATGAATGATGACTGCAGTACCTTGCATTTCTTCGTGTATAAACCAATTCCATTAAAATTAATGACAAATTAAAAGATTTTGAACAAGATGTGTCTATGAAACACTATGCCCCCTCTGATTTGGGACATTAAAACTATACTGTGTAAGGCATTTGCTAATTACATGCACACTTTGTGAATTCTTGGAAATTTTCTAAGTTCAAGCATTGTAACTCGGTCAAATATTGAAGCCTACCTCTAACAGTGCTATAGTTCAGGTCAAAGTCACATGATCAAAATTTGCGTTATGGCCAATGCTAATATTTTTTCAAATGTAGACAAAGGTCAAAATCAAGGTCACATGGTGAAAAATTGTGGTACCAACAGAAAGGTCTTGTCACAAGAAACATACATGCCAAATATAAAAACCCTACCTCTTATGGTGCAAAAGCTATGGGCAAGGTTATAGTTGATAACAGACAAACAAACAAACACCACAAAAACAAAAGGCCCCTGATCTCTCAATCTGCGGGCATGGAAAGAAAGTTATTTTGTTTACATATTCTGTTAAACCAAAACATATACTGATGTTGTACAACAGAAGACAAAAAGTACATTAGTATAGCAGTAATTTGTGAACATTTCCTTGTTCACTGATGGTCACTTTACAGCTCTATAAGGTTCCTTACTTGATGTAGTCCTTGAACTGTTCATGTGTCCACATGTTGTCTGACGGCAGGTTGGAATTTCGTTGGCCGTTCTTATAATTTTTCTGTATAGCATTGTTCGATAAATGAATGGACTCATCAAAATCATCAAGGGTATATTCCTGGGAACAGAATCGGAGGTAGCTATCCTGGTAGAACCACAGGGTCAGAGGGTTCCAGTCTGTTACCAGGAACCATTGACGTATGTCAAACTTACAGTTGTAAATCAGCAGGGGGCGCTCTGTAATACAAGGTCGCTTGGTCCTATAAACTTATATCAACCACTGTGATTGCTAAAATACTGAGTATGCTTCAGGCAAATACAGAAAACTAAACTGACTTTAAACAGACCAAACAAATGTAAATTTGTATACAAAAAAAACAACAACATTTTTGCATTTACACATGACGGTATTAAATTTTTACATTGTCATGCATGCTAATGACATTGTTAGAATAGAGGTAAAAAGTTACCTATGAAAATTCTATACAAACATTTACAAACAATTAAATATGAAGTTTAAGACTGTAACTTAGTACTCACCTATGTATTTCTGTACAACATATTTGTTGTCCTTTCTCACCACCTGACTGTTGACTAGTTTCAGCATATCATCCAATTTATCATAACACACAATTCCTAAACAAAGAATGACACTGAATGAAATACTTTGTAATCATAGGATAGAATAAGTAATTGGTATGTAATAGATAGTACTTGTAGGCCATGTCTGAAACTACTTCTGGTAACAAAACTAGTGATGAATTATATAGGAGTTATCATCCAAATGTTGAATCCATGAGACGGGGAATGAATATCGGCACATATAATAACATACCATATATATCTTTCATGATCACAAGACAATCTTCCCATGCCCCATGATACCTACCCCTGCCCTACAAATACCTACCACTGCCCCTTAATCCCTACCCCTGCCCTGTAATACCTACTTCTGCTCTGTAATACCTACTCATGCCCTGTAATACCTACCCCTGCCCTGTAACACCTATCCCTGCCCTGTAATACCTACCCCTGCCCTGTAATACCTACTTCTGCTCTGTAATACCTACTCATGCCCTGTAATACCTACCCCTGCCCTGTAATACCTACTTCTGCTCTGTAATACCTACTCATGCCCTATAATACCTACCTTTACCCTGCAATACCTACCCCTGCCCCTCTATACTTACCCCTGCCCTGTAATACCTACCCATGCCCCATGATACCTACCCCTGCCCTACAAATACCTACCACTTCCCCTTAATACCAACTCCTGCCCTGTAACCCTAGCCCTGCCCCTCTATTTTTACCCCTGCCCTGTAACCCTAGCCCTGCCCCTCTATTTTTACCCCTGCCCTGTAATACCTACCCCTGCCCTGTAACACCTACCCCTGCCCTGTAATACCTACCCCTACCCTTGTTATACCTACCCCTGCCCTGTAATACCTACCCCTGCCCTGTAAATCCTACCCCTGCCCCTCTATTTACTCCTGCCCTGTAATACCTACCCCTGCCCGTCTATACTTACCCCTGCCCTGTAATCCTACCCCTGCCCCTCTATTTTTACCCCTGCCCTGTAATACCTACCCCTGCCTCTCTATACTTATCCCTGCCCTGTAATACCAACTCCTGCCCCTCTATTTTTACCCCTGCCCTGTAATACCAACTCCTGCCCTGTAATCCTACCCCTGTCCCTCTATTTTTACCCCTGCCCTGTAATACCTACCCCTGCCCCTCTATACTTACCCCTGCCCTGTAATACCTACTCCTGCCCCTCTATTTTTACCCCTGCCCTGTAATTTTTACCCCTATCCTGTAATCCTACCCCTGTCCCTCTATTTTTACCCCTGCCCTGTAATGCCTACCCCTGTCCCTCTATTTTTACCCCTGCCCTGTAATACCTACCCCTGCCCCGTGACTTGGCACCAGGTTTAACAATCCATACATTCCTCATTCCATCTAGTTCATACTGTGTGTGTTTTGACTTGAGACGATTGGTGAGATTCTCCACCTCTGTCAGCATGTTCTCAGGTACACCAGAGATCACACCTCCATCACTGTAACATGGTTCATATTGTAATAATTACCACATCAAAAAAATTATCTTAAATCCTGAATCATATTTGTTAGAGTTTCATCAGAAATAACATTGACTGCTACATAATGTCATGTAATTATTCCATCCCACTACTTTTGAGTCAAAGAAAATGTTATTATAACAGAATATACGCAATACAGACTGTCAGGATCAAAATGTTATTTTGTATACAAATATAAAATACTGTAAATTATAATCCCTAGTCCAAAAACTAACAAAGGGACATAACTCTGCATACATCAGGATAAGTAACTAAACTACAGAACATCAAACAGAGCAGCTCCATGAAGTCCTAACATACCAAGCATATATGGTATATCAGAACTTCACACGACCAAGTGTAGAGTCATTTCTGTGTGTACATGAAGAGACTTTATTTTTTAATATATCACACATAATGCCCAAGATCCATAAAGGAGAACTGGGAGATAGAGAGAAAGAACAGAACAAAATAACCCATGTATGTACTCACTGGCACAGCTGGTAGTACCACACCAATAACTCGTCCCACTGTGCCTGTGTCAGCTCATTGGTCTGTTATAAAAACAATAAATTCTATCAGAAAACAGATTGTCTACAGGTAAATGAGATTATTTTCTATATATGACTTTATAGTTTGTTTTCAATTGCTGTTTCTTCACTAAATTTTTAACTATCCCTGTGACACCACAATTAGATCAGAGCAAGTTCTCTCTGACAACATATAAGATAAAAGTATTATTGTTTTATTTTCACAAGGTGTAAATCAATTATATCAGTTTCTATTTCCCTTACAAATAAATATTAAGACTTACAGCTGACATGACATCAATGTCATCATGCTCCTTCTCCTCCAAGTACCGTTCACACTGCTGCATGGCACGCTCGAGGCACTGGAGTGGAACTACTACCCGTTTCTTCTTCTTCATTAATTTTTTAAATGATGAGGTTGACTTGTCCGACCTTGACGTTGACACTGAAACAGTCAATAAGAGGATAACATTCCATGTTTTCACTAAATGCTAGTCACTTCTGAAATCTATCAAACAAGATATGAAGTACCGATTCTCAAAACACAATCATGTTTTATGTTATTGAAACATGTTTTTTGTACTAACATTTCTTTGTATTTTGTTTTGTCGTACTATATCGACGTTAGATATAAATTTTTACCTTTCGGCAGATTGGGCACTTTATCCTTAAGCTCAGATTTCTCCCTCTCCAGCAGTTTCTGTTTCTCTAGTGCGTGTACACACAAATTTCCAGAATTGTTTCCTGGTCGTGAACGCGTACATTCAGGGTCAGTACAGATGAAGGGAGTGGAGCTCTCCTTCTCATTACCAACATCACGTTTCTCCTCCTCATCGCCGCCTCCCTCTGAAAGTCCAGCCTCCATGTAGTGGGCGCTGACAGCTTTAAGCACATTCATGCAGGCTGTCTGACGGTAATCATCTGTCAAATAATGTTTTATCAATGTCATAATTATTATCCATATAATTGTAATACTGAACTACTTACTAAATTCTATGAATTTCAGTATATCAATATGAAAAAAAACAGCCTAAAACCAAGGGCATATAGATTTATCCTGATACCTGAACTGTCTGTGGCTTCACTCAAAATGTTTATACATCATTCTTAAGGCAATTTCATGAACCTTATCATATAATTAAATTCCAACAAATATTGCATGTACTCTGTACTCCAGCAACCAACTGTTTAGGTGTTCACTATTATAGTATATCAACAGTACACAGTGAAAAGGCATATAAAACATTACTATCTAAAGAGAACTTGTCACAAAACTATAAAATTTACCTATAAAAGCATTTTTTTCTTCTTCATGACTTAAACGAAAACATCGAGGGAAAAATCCTTCAGGATCCGAATTGTCAAACCACGGCACATTTCTCATATTGACTGTTAAACCAACCTGAAACAGAGGGTCATATAGATATAAAACATCTCTTTTAACAGAAAATGGATAATCACACATATATATACATAAAAAGTGTAAAAGTTGGGTTAGAACTTGTCTGTGAAACTAATTATCTCCCTTACATAGAACTCCAGAGTCTCTCAGAATAATATGTGTTATATATAAGGAATCCTGTGAGCTGACTTACTTTTGTTGTGAACGACCCAGCTTTACAGAAGTGATTCACCATCTGGTCTTTAGTAAGGAATCTGTAGTCCACGATGTCTCTCTTCAGCACCCAGATAAATGTAGGGTTGACATTACGAACGATACGTGACTGAAAAATGACAGCATTGTTAATTTTTTTTTAATTTTCAAAGTAACACCATTGATGAAATTAAAATTTTTTTAAGTAACAAACTTCACATAAAACATTTGATGATGAAAGCTAGTTATTTGTAAAGTCATCAGATTTATCATTGGTTTAATGGAACAGAGATCATTTTTCAAAATGTTTTAAAATGTACATAGACATTATATTTATTTCCTACTTCTTTTATCACCAAATTTCAAGGTCCATTTTATATAAGTCACTTTATATATCTGGTGTATGATGTTTGTAACGAAAATAACATATTTCATTTCAGTGCAAATAATAACGATTTTGGTAAAAAAAACCAACTTTTTACAAGATAGTAATACTATTGATAACTATCAGACAACATATTTTTCCAATATCTTCAATCTAGATAAAACAAATGTTTCAGTCACTTGTGACTGGAGTTTACAGAGATCAGTTTGAGGAGACGTACCATGATACCGTAGATTCCATCATCCTCATCCCACGGAGCTATCTTCGGCTGATCATCTACAAAGAGTCATATATTGATTAATTCTCTGTGATTAATATCATTTTAACTAATGAGTCATCAATTTTCTGTGATAAAGAGAATTTTAGATAAGTAATAAGTCATTAATTCTGTGATAAATATTCCTTTATTTATAAATCAATAGTTTTCTCTACATAAGAAATATAATTTTATGAAGTAGTAAGTGATTAATTTTTTGTAACAAATATAACTTTGATAAAGAAAAGTCATTGATGATGCTTAGTTGTCTGTTTAGACATGTCCATGGTGTAAGCCTAGAGAATTATATTGTCCTGGTAGTTACCTAGTACACCTGTATATTGCTCTACACTTACATATGTTTACTAAAGTTTTATTTTATACTTCTTATTTTATTAAACTAATAAATCAGTCTCCACCACAGGAAAAAAAATGTCAAAGCAACGTGATTCACACGAATACCTCCCCTAGCAACCAAAGTGGTGACCTTTTCAGTAAGATTGACTTTGGCAAGAGGTGTACTCATGACTCACCAAATAAAATTGAAGCCCTGTTTGTAAGATTTATGGTAAAGAATTTGAAATAAAATGGGCTGCTTATTTGCTTTTTAATCCCCACTTGAGTTGGACAAGGCTCTAAAATGTTCTTACTTATAAATATTGACGATGTCAAATTAGAACTTAACTTACATATTATCATTATACAACAACTTCAAAATACAGTCCTACATACTATCTATTGAAGAGGAAATCAGTAGAAGCAGAATTAGGAAAGGATAATAGACGAGGTAACACAATATATATATTACACCACCGCTCTCGATTAAGATTTATAACTTTGTATTTGTTTTATGTTCTACCTATGTGAGGTAATTTATGTCGTATTTGTGCCTTGATAAAAGGGCAGATTGCCTCGAAAATTTGACAATTTGCCTGTCCATACTGTAGCTATTACTTCATTGATCATATATACATAGATATTTAAATTAACACACTCGACCGTGAAATGACAGAGGCATAATAAAAAAAAGAAACATTCTGCGGAAAATGTAAGAGATAATTTCTACTGACTGAGATACATTTGTAGCTACATTGAGTGCCATTTCCCAATCATCTTTTTCACCAGCTACACTTTTGTTAAAGCCAGCTGTCAAAGGTCCCTAGTTACACCAAATTGCTTTAATGTTATTATTACCAGGCCACAGAACGGTGACATAATTATTATCCTGAATGTGCATTAACACTCTTAAGCCTGGTAGGTGTCAATGTACAGGTGTATTTGGTGTGCACAATATACATAAACCACCGTCCACAGATCTATTTATCAGGTAACACAATTACCTACAAAATTATACCTGAGCAGTTTTACTATAGCAAAAAATATCAGCCCTAAACCACAAGTATTTAAAATAGATTTAAATAAATCAATATTTAACAAGGGTGTGAGTTATTTACTGTTACAACACAAAGACATGTACGATAGCTGCATATGATATGTACAGTGCATTGTATAATGAAACGGTGTGTGATTCACCAAATGTGATGGTGAATTGTGAGGTGTATAGTGTAATGGTGAGGTGTACAGTATAATGTTGGAGTGTGAGATGTAAAGTATAAAGGTGGCGCGTGATGTGTACAGTATAATGGTGGAGCGTGAGGTGTACAGTGTAATGGTGGAGTGTGAGGTGTACAGTGTAATGGTGGAGTGTGAGGTGTACAGTATAATGGTGGAGCGTTAGGTGTACAGTGTAATGGTGGAGTGCGAGGTGTACAGTGTAATGGTGGAGTGCGAGGTGTACAGTATAATGGTGGAGTGCGAGGTGTACAGTATAATGGTGGAGTGCGAGGTGGAGGTGTACAGTGTAATGGTGGAGTGCGAGGTGTACAGTATAATGGTGGAGTGCGAGGTGTACAGTATAATGGTGGAGTGCGAGGTGTACAGTATAATGGTGGAGCGCGAGGTGTACAGTATAATGGTGGAGTGCGAGGTGTACAGTATAATGGTGGAGTGCGAGGTGTGCAGTATAATGGTGGAGTGTGAGGTGTGCAGTATAATGGTGGAGTGTGAGGTGTGCAGTATAATGGTGGAGTGCGAGGTGTACAGTATAATGGTGGAGTGTGAGGTGTGCAGTATAATGGTGGAGTGTGAGGTGTGCAGTATAATGGTGGAGTGTGAGGTGTACAGTGTAATGGTGGAGTGCGAGGTGTACAGTGTAATGGTGGAGTGTGAGGTGTACAGTGTAATGGTGGAGTGCGAGGTGTACAGTGTAATGGTGGAGTGTGAGGTGTACAGTATAATGGTGGAGTGTGAGGTGTACAGTGTAATGGTGGAGTGTGAGGTGTACAGTGTAATGGTGGAGTGTGAGGTGTACAGTGTAATGGTGGAGTGTGAGGTGTGCAGTGTAATGGTGGAGTGCGGGGTGTGCAGTGTAATGGTGGAGTGCGAGGTGTACAGTGTAATGGTGGAGTGCGAGGTGTACAGTGTAATGGTGGAGTGCGAGGTGTACAGTATAATGGTGGAGTGTGAGGTGTACAGTATAATGGTGGAGTGTGAGGTGTACAGTATAATGGTGGAGTGTGAGGTGTACAGTATAATGGTGGAGCGTGAGGTGTACAGTGTAATGGTGGAGTGTGAGGTGTACAGTATAATGGTGGAGTGCGAGGTGTACAGTATAATGGTGGAGTGCGAGGTGTACAGTATAATGGTGGAGTGTGAGGTGTACAGTATAATGGTGGAGTGTGAGGTGTACAAAACAGTATTCCTGTCATTACAAGTATAATTAATTAGTGCCTGTGAGTTTGTTCCTGAGGATAAGAATCGATAGTAGAGTTAATACCATGACAGAAACTAATCCACATATAGTGTGTGTGTGTGAGAATGTTTTCTATGATCAATAGGGAAGTTGATGATGGGGATTGGATGACTTATACAGGATTACAGACTTTCTCTATTGTATATATCAGCTATTGTACTATAGATTAAGTCTATTCTTAATATCAGCATGAAAAGTTAAGACTCAGTAATTAGTCTAATATATCACAGTTTTGCCACCACAGCCTGGACTTATATGGTATGAAATAAGCCTCCTGAAATAAAACTGGAAATAGAGAAATCTTCTACGTGTACCAGGAATCTGGAGGAACTTCTCACCATAGTCATTGATAGCTGTGCTATTTATAGCCTTGTTATATACATAGTAGAGGCAGAATACAACAATTAAGTGAGATCACAATGGAGGTAGTAAAGGTTTACATACTATCACTATCTGTATCATCATCATCGTCATCATCATCGTCATCATCATCATCATCATCATCTGAATCATCATCTCCATCTACAGTTTTTCTACGTTTCCGCCGAGTTTTCTTGGGTGGTCCTTGGATTCGATAGAACTTTTCCACCCAGCCCCTCTTACGTAGACTTTGTCTTACCCCAGAATATCCTCCTTGAATGGTGAAGATCTTTCGTTGCTACAAATTACAATAATTGAAATATATGATTTCGGTTTAAAAAAAAACCAAGTGACATATTTTTGAACAATCAGTGCAGAAACAACTGTAAAGTCATGATAGTGTTATGATCAAAGGCCCATCAGCATTAACCTACAACATTAGTATCTAGCGACCTTGAACTATGAGCTTGTCAGTCTTAGAATGACCTTGACCAACATTGAAGATGTGACCTTGAGCTATTGTTACGATGACCTTGCACCAAACATATATTGTCCACATCATATCGTTTTACACACCTTGATTGCTCGTTCTGCTGTTTCCTTGGCGTGCTTCAGCCGATCTGTGCTGATAACACCTGAGGGGTTGGAAGTGGCAGGCATTTTACGAGATATCTTAGGACGGCCAAGGGTGGGCATGGTCTTACTTCTGGACATGGATGTTGGCAGGTCACCTGGTGACAAAAACAAACCAATCTAAATGACAGAAAACATCCTAAAGATATAAAACTCCATTTAAATATATCATTGTTCTTAACATACCTATGTAACCTGATAAGTGACAGGACATGTTAGACTTACCAGCTGTATCATCCAGGCTAGCATCTCCTACAGGCTTTGACTTGACTTGATGACTTCCCATTTTTTGTTTCTGCCGTTTTAACACCATATCTGGGTTTCCATTGGCATAGGGACCTGAGAAACAGTTAAGATAGGAAAGTTAAGTCTTAAATAAAAAAACAGATTTACAATAACGTACACCAAAATCTGTTTTGTATAGAGAAAATAAAACACAGAAGTAACAATCCTATTTCTACATCTGTTGAAATACCACACAACTTAGTGTACTAAGCGTTCTGTCCAACTGGTTCACTTTGTTGGTATTATAGTTCATAAAAATCAGAAACATCAAGTTAACATTTAAACTTCACCATAAATAGCGATATAAAAGTAAGATATAGAACAACATCAAATCAGACGTTTATATTACCCCTACTTTTCACAACTATGGAGCTGGTCAGCAGATCCCTGATATTGGACACAAAATCACTTTATCACCACAGGGACAGTATAAAACTGGTGACAGCTAGAACACACACTACTGGAGGCCAGGACACTAACTACTGGAATACTTACTATGGATGTTCCATTTTTAACACTCAACTTTAATACAAGCATACAAGTAAACAATTTTTTATAGTCTGTTATTTGCCCGGTTTATTATTCATACCCTAGCTTCATGTCTCTGCATGTATACTCTACTGTGTCTGCAGAAATGAGAAATTCAATTTTTGCATCAGTCTTTTTCAAACGATTTAATCATGTGTAAATCAGAACGTAATATAAGATACAGGCTATAATTAAAATTTCCTTTTTTAATAGTTCTTTAGTTTAGCATTATAAGTTCTCCCAAGGTCTTGCATTTATGAATGTTCCATACAAGTGCCATACTAGTGTATTGAGAGAAATGTCAGTACATGTCAACACCTTACCACTAACTCCTTGAGAAAGCTTATGTGATTGAGGAATAAATAATCGTGTTTTGTAAACTGAGGACAATCACCTAGTCAACATGGGAGATGTATATCAAAATCATTCTGAGGATTTTAAAAACCTCATTTTCTATACGCTGATGAAATGGAAATTCACGACAGAGCCATATGTTGAGAACATAGATTATGTATATGTCTAATCACAATATTTTCTCGATCTCCGGCCTGACCAACCCACATTTGTTAAGCTGATTAGCTGCTATTGATATTGAGACTTTTGATATGAAGTAGCATATTCACTGAACTAGTAAGTAAAAAAACTAATTGGTTCAACTATGACTTTAAAGTGATTGACCTTAAACTATGAATGTCAATCTTACAATGACCTTGACCCATTTGGCTAAATGATCTAACAACATTTAATCACCCTAACTATCTAATTATCTAATTAGCTAGACATATTACATGTACCTACATTGTATATCACAAAGACATACCCCAGTAACACAACATAGAATGTCTTCATATCCAACCCCTAGGTTAGAGTCCTGAGAAATTTCAGTCAAACAAACGAACAATTCAGAAACATACAATATTACATACAGTATAACGTATCCAAACCAGTATCTACCTTATTCAAAACCCCTTTCTATAATGATTTATGATGAATTCCTCTCTATCCTGATAATCTGTCCCTCCCTATAAAGACTTTGATATTTATTCTCTATCATGATTTTGATATTAAGTTCATCTGTGGAAAATGTGAAATGTATTTGGGGCTAAAACATTAAAGACACATTAAAGCTTATGTTTTGGGCTTTTTTTTAATACATCAAAAAGTTTGAAAGTTTGATTCATCTGATGTCTTGATTAGGAAGAAGTATAACAGACAAATGATATCTGTAGAGATCTGGCATTGATCAATTCATGTGTTACACTTAGACTTAAAGCAATGTTAAGTGTGATGATCAATATGGCATATATGACGCTGTAAAGTCAACTGGTTTATCTAGTGAAATGTACACCTGATCAGAGTTGTCTGCCAGGAGACAAACAAGTGCAGGACTACTATATAAACTTAGGCCTTGAAAAATATTCAGTAATCAATATTGCCCATGACAGATCTCCTCTCCAGAATGTCTCTAGATAATGTCATGAAAGTGGCTCACAACCATACAGATCTATATTCTGTAGACGTGAAAATTGCTTGAATTTTTAGTAAAAGTTGTCACTAATTTACATTCTACTGCTAGACTTTCTTATAAAACCGTAAAAGAAATGTAAGACCTTGAAAAGTGACCATACATTCTTATCATAGTGACAAGATATAACATACATTATCAAACAGCTCAAAATCAAAGTTAGAAGAATATTTTTCCAGAAAAAGTTGATTGAACAGAAAGTGCTGTACTAAGATACAAATAGGTTAGTCAATAATCCATAGAGGAGATCTCCAACCATTTTGAAAATGGAAAATGCTGCAAAAAACAAGATAGCGTTGAACCAAAAAGCTGTTCAAGAGTCAATGTTCAATGTCAACATAAAAGATTGGTTGACAATCTGAGAACAAAAAAAAACCCAGAGGGAGGTAGTTTATCTTCAAATTCAGGGGAACACATTTTTATGTCATGGTGACTAAGCTTACCAAGTTTCGAAGAGATCAAATTAAAATTGTGAGAGAAAATCTTTATGACAAACACCTGAATTTATACATAGTCAGACAATGTCCTACCATTATACAGACTACTGAATACTTCAGACAGTTGAACAAAAATATGATTAATTTATTTTCAACATCACAACTGTAACCTGCTGGTGTACACAAAATGGATATTATTTCAACATCAATATACACAACAAAAAAGAGAGAAATTTTCAAACCATTTTCAAACACCTGAACATGCATTCAAATAATGGATGTTGATATGTTGACATGACTAACACATCATCTGCCAATCCCAGTTAGTGGAAAACAGAGTAATCATGGTTATTGTCACATGTTAACATGTGTAGGGAACATCAATAAGGTTAATTTGGAAGAGCCGAAGAAAAACTTATATGAACATGTTGATACAGCTGACTATCTTTGGTTAATGAACTATTTTTTTTTCAAACTTTAAATGAAAAAAATACAAAAATGTTTTGACACTGTGGAGAAAAACAACAGACCATACATATTAAATACAGTGTGTCAACCTTAATAAGTAACTATGTAGTGATTACCACTACACCTGCGATAGGTTTTATTTTTGTCACTGTTTTGGTGATATTTCACTGTTGTGGTGATATTTCACTGTTTGGGTGATATTTCACTGTTTGGGTGATATTTCAGTATTTGGGTGATATTTCACTGTTATGGTGATATTTCACTGTTTGGGTGATATTTCACTGTTGTGGTGATATTTCACTGTTGTGGTGATATTTCACTATTTGGGTGATATTTCACTGTTATGCTGATATTTCACTGTTTGGGTGATATTTCAGTATTTGGGTGATATTTCACTGTTTGGGTGATATTTCACTGTTTGGGTGATATTTCACTGTTTGGGTGATATTTCAGTATTTGGGTGATATTTCACTGTTGTGGTGATATTTCACTATTTGGGTGATATTTCACTGTTATGGTGATATTTCACTGTTTGGGTGATATTTCACTGTTTGGGTGATATTTCAGTATTTGGGTGATATTTCACTGTTTGGGTGATATTTCACTATTTGGGTGATATTTCACTGTTATGGTGATATTTCACTGTTTGGGTGATATTTCAGTATTTGGGTGATATTTCACTGTTGTGGTGATATTTCACTGTTTGGGTGATATTTCACTGTTGTGGTGATATTTCACTGTTTGGGTGATATTTCACTGTTTGGGTGATATTTCACTGTTATGGTGATATTTCACTGTTGTGGTGATATTTCACTGTTTGGGTGATATTTCACTGTTTGGGTGATATTTCAGTATTTGGGTGATATTTAACTGTTGTGGTGATATTTCACTGTTTGGGTGATATTTCACTGTTGTGGTGATATTTCACTGTTTGGGTGATATTTCACTGTTTGGGTGATATTTCACTGTTATGGTGATATTTCACTGTTGTGGTGATATTTCACTGTTTGGGCGATATTTCACTATTTGGGTGATATTTCACTGTTGTGGTGATATTTCACTGTTTGGGCGATATTTCACTATTTGGGTGATATTTCACTGTTGTGGTGATATTTCACTGTTTGGGTGATATTTCACTATTTGGGTGATATTTCACTGTTGTGGTGATATTTCACTGTTTGGGCGATATTTCACTATTTGGGTGATATTTCACTATTATGGTGATATTTCACTGTTTGGGTGATATTTCACTGTTGTGGTGATATTTCACTGTTATGGTGATATTTCACTGTTGTGGTGATATTTCACTGTTTGGGTGATATTTCACTATTTGGGTGATATTTCACTGTTGTGGTGATATTTCACTGTTGTGGTGATATTTCACTATTTGGGTGATATTTCACTGTTATGGTGATATTTCACTGTTGTGGTGATATTTCACTGTTTGGGCGATATTTCACTATTTGGGTGATATTTCACTATTTGGGTGATATTTCACTGTTGTGGTGATATTTCACTGTTTGGGTGATATTTCACTGTTGTGGTGATATTTCACTGTTTGGGTGATATTTCAGTATTTGGGTGATATTTCACTGTTTGGGCGATATTTCACTATTTGGGCGATATTTCACTATTTGGGTGATATTTCACTGTTGTGGTGATATTTCACTGTTTGGGTGATATTTCACTGTTTGGGTGATATTTCACTGTTTGGGTGATATTTCACTGTTTGGGTGATATTTCACTGTTGTGGTGATATTTCACTGTTTGGGTGATATTTCACTATTTGGGTGATATTTCACTATTTGGGTGATATTTCACTGTTGTGGTGATATTTCACTGTTTGGGTGATATTTCACTGTTTGGGTGATGTTTCACTATTTGGGTGATATTTCACTGTTATGGTGATATTTCACTGTTTGGGTGATATTTCACTGTTTGGGTGATGTTTCACTATTTGGGTGATATTTCACTGTTATGGTGATATTTCACTGTTTGGGTGATATTTCACTGTTTGGGTGATGTTTCACTATTTGGGTGATATTTCACTGTTTGGGTGATATTTCACTG